AGGTCAAAGGTCAAATCCAAGGGTATATTTGAAATCTACACATATGACTTTTGGAAAGCCGTCTATAGAAATTTTTCCCATAACTCCTTCCGTAGGGTAGATAATTAGCATTTAATTTTGCCATTTTTAGACAAGGGTGCATTGCAATGAGTGCCACACCCAGACCCCAATACCGACAAAGCCCAAATTTTACGTGGAACGAGTTGAGATTATAGGTGACCTAAATCCATAAGATGGGTACGGGGGCCCTTACCGTCTAGGAGGAGAAGCGGTAACGGTAGCCGTCCGGCGGAGCCGGCAGAGCCAACGGAGCCGGCGGAGCCGGCGGAACGATCCGGACGGGACCGAAACCATGTGTACCGCCAGCGCTAACGCTGGTGGTACAATAATAATCTGAAAGCCCTCAAGGCTTGAGAAATTTTGTTTTAACACGTATAATAATATAAAGTGAGGAAAACCTCCTCCCCCAAAAATAATAAAAATATTTTTGCGGCAAACAATTTATAACGCAAACTATGAATTTATCTTTGCGACACAATTTACAACATAAATCATGAAATAAAAATCACCAGTCAAAAGTACTAAGCTGCGACTATTATGCACATCTGACTTTTGGTTATTCATTTTCATAGTTGTAAATATTTCACTATTAATTCCTAACCTATACCATATCACAGTAAAAGTAATACTCACTCCACGCACAGTATGCCGAGTAGTCTCCATGGCCAGGCAATTTAGGGTCCACCACCTGATACTGTAACTCCCCTCCATTGTCAGTGTATATCCACTTCCCTCGTACATAAGCCGTCCTCCTGGCCTCTGCTAGTGCACTCACTGTACTCAACTGCATACTGTCTACCTCACTGCTGGCACGAAATTAAGCATTACAAAGGAATTGCATAAATAATTATATCTAATTTAAGGCACAACAAAAATGAGTGCCTGTGTAATCTATTTTTGTAATTCACAAGTTTAACTACTGTTCAGTAACATTCTTATAATCAATTATTTTACAAATTATTTTTACGTGTAATTCAAACCAGCTAAAATTGTACCGAAAAATAACATTGGCATGTAAAAATATTAGTAGTTTAGCTTCATACCTTTTTGGTTCTATCTCCTTGATGGAGAAGATGAAAGTTCCAAGTTCGTCAATCCTCTGTCTTCTTATTTTACTCAATTCATCTTCACTCTCTATTAAAAAACCCTCTCTTGTCTCCATTTTATTTTGGCCATCTTCCATGTATTTAAGTATTCTTTTGAGTTTTTCTTGTTGCTTCTTAACTTTAGAGTTTTTATAAGCATTGTTCTTTTTGATGGCTTTTAAGTTGTCTTGATCTGAAGAAAAAACATTTTAAAAAACTGCAAAATGTGATATTATGAAGACTTTTATGGTCTATTCTGACAATGGTAAGAAATACTGATGCTTCTAGGATACAAAATAAAAGGTGTCCTCTTGTGGTAGAAAAATCATTGTGGTATTGTGGTAAAATCATTTGTTATTAAAGGAAGAGCTTCTTTTATTTAATAACTTTGAATTTACCACTTTTTTTTCTTTTTATCCCCTTCTTTCTAAAGGCATCATATGGTAATGGCTCCATCATTTCAACCAGGAAAAATTATCAATTACATAATTTTGGAATCATCAAAAAAACATTTTTATGTAGCATTTTAGTGCTTTTACAGTAAAGAATATAATTTTAAGGTAGTTTGCTTTTCAATTGTGTCGCTACCATTCAAGTTGAAGTAATGCAATGTGACAGAAAGCTTTTTCACCTCTTGCTTCTTTGCTTTTGACTTCTTCAATAGCTTTCTGCAGTAAATTCAGCTTTTTGGTGTAGAGTTGTATCTCAGTTTTCTTGGTGAATAAAAGATAAAAAGAAAGTAAAATGCATGAAGTAGGGATTATTTCAAAACAAACAAGTTTTTCTTTAGTAGTATTGATATTATATAACTTGAACATGCCATGTTTACAACATGGAAACTGTATTATTTTTTGTCCAAAAATAGTAATAATACATAAATAATAATAAATAATAAATTCAATGGGTAAAGATGGCAAGGAACTTAGACAGAAGAAACAAGTTTCAACAACAAATCTTAGTTTTGCAGACAAGCTGAATAGCAAATGTGATCTTTACATACTGTAGGACACCCAGGAAAAACTATCAAAGACCAGGCAAAAATCTGTTTAACTGGAGTTAATTGCACTAATAATTCGCACTAAATGCTGCTGACAAATAAAAAAAGTCAATATATATGTTGATAAATATGTTGTATATAATACAAACAAATTCTCATTGAATTAGAGAAATATTTAAGTAAGTAAAAAGTACATAAATTTAAGTAAAACCCTTATGCAATACTAGAAAAATTACTTTTCTAGGACTCACCTTAGCATCGATGTCAAGATGCTTTTGCACAGCTGATTCTACCCTGAAAAAAATATTTAAATAAATCAATGTATATACAATTTTTGATTCCAAAAATTTTTGACAAGAAAATTATAAAATAGATTTGTACTACATATCAAATGCTTCTTAGGCAGAATGCCCTTCCTCACCTACTGTATCCCATTTACAAATCTGAAATTCTGTTTTTCTAAAATCAGTCATATAGTGATGTTGATCAATGTTTTCATTTTTAAATATATCAATTTTGCAATTTACTTAATTCTAATTTTGTTTAATGTATTTACAAGAAACTTCAAGCCTGCTGAAATATAATGAGAGCTGAGCTCACTACAGTGCTTTAATTGCAAAACTAATCTAATTGAATTCATAAATTGAATTATATGTATGTACAAGTTTGGGGCATTCTGCACAAGTAACCATCAAGTAACATCTATTGCAGCATATACTGTATATTAATTAAACATGTCTGTCAAAGTTAAAATATTGGGGTAAAGTACGAAAACTGAAATGCAGAAACACCACCGCATGTTATGCAAAACGAAGCACGACAGAGGCTACATCATAACTTATGACTCAGCAATAACATACAACATGTGTTAAGATGTACCTTGCAAGAACTTTTGATCGTTCCTTCTTCAGCGCATGCCATTTTCTTAACTTCACTGAAAACCTAAAACAGTTAAAATGAAACTTATTATTGCATTTTAATATAAATAAAATGCCTCATGTGTTTGAAAAAATATATATAAAGGAGGTAATGGTAAAATCAAGTTTTTCATGGAGCATACTATATAATATATCATATATAATGGTAGCCAGCAGTAGCTTATCATATACTCATATACAAGTGTAATCCTTACTTATCACGATTATCTGGATTTTCGCATTTGGAATGTGCAAAGTTCCCGTCTCTCAGACAGCGTTGACAAGTAAATGGGCGTCTTGAATTTCTACATAGAGGACATCTTTCAACTGCAACACTGATCCCACCTTCTGTGTCTTCAAAAGAGGATGAAAGTTGAAAAATATTGGGTGCTATGCTGCTTCCTGTGCTACTGCTGGCTGCCATTTGTTTGCGTGACGTCAGTTTTGTTTTGGGAAAATAGAACAGGTGCTTGGGGTTTTTCAGTAATTCATAGTGCTCATATGAATACGACACATTGAGTTTCATACTTGTAATGGACATAAAGATATTTCATTATTTTTATTCAAAGGTAAATTGTATTTACTAAGTTATAAGAATAAATCCATCTTAATTATTCTCCGACTAATTTTGCTCCCTGTGCATTTGAGCTCTTTTATTAAGGAGTATGGAAAGTAAAGAAGTAAACATGAATGATGGCGAAAAAAGAGAAACAGATTACAACTACTACTAGTAGTTTTAGACATGGCCAGTTTGTATGATCCGAGCATTCTGCTTTTAAACATGGAAGAAGACACATTTTCGCAATCTATGAATGCCGATCTGACATATACCGCTGTGGTGACTGTGTTGGCCTGCACTGCTGTCATAGTCGTTTTGTTGTTTCGGTATGTCAATCTTTAGCACGAAAATTCATGCGTTAGCACACCTATAAACAATCTCTGATTTTTATAAGCTTTTACTTTCAACTTTTCTTAAAACGTGTCCAAATCAATGGTGAAGTGATTTCGACACAGGTTCAGTTCCCAAAGCAGTAGTTTGGCCAGTTCCGAAACAGGATGCAATATGAAAATCTGATACTGTACAATGTACGTACTGTGGGGACACTAGCTATAATTATCAATGCTCCCTTTTGTCAACATAACACGTGACTTTATGTACAATGTAGAATATAGTGCATTCACGTTTCAGTTTGAATTTATCAATATAGTAATATATCAAGTCTGCACAACGTTCCCGTGCTTTTGATACGTTTCTTTACTGTTTTATAAATTGTCAGTTGATTATTTATCACAAAGACATTTACAAACACATTCCATAAAACTTGGATGTTCAAATACGTATATGTTATTTATTTATTTATTTTTGAAATGACACATTCTATAAAAAACAAATTTTAGACATTCCTCTAATGAGGCAAAAGTTTGATTTATCTGAAAAAGAAAACATAAAACAAATGTAATGTTTCTTTCAGTCACCAGTTCCCAGACATTATGGAAGCAGGATCATCTAGCATATCAGACATATTTGTTGCTCCTGAACAGTCAATGATTGGGAACCATAATCCATTTGTTGTAGAACTAGAACATGTAGGCCAGCAAAATCATGACTGTAAGTCTGTTAGCTCCACACCCTCACATTTCAGGCATTTGTATTTAAACTATGTAGTGAACATGACTGTATTACTATTGGAATATCTTGATTTATTACATATTAAAATGTAAGGGAAAAGTTTTCTTAAAAGTATTATTTTGTTAAAGAGAAATAGAATTTAACTTAAAAAGTAATAATGAGTAATTAAGATTTGATTATATTGGAAGACAAAAAGAAAATGATTTCTTTTTCTTTTTATTTCCAGATTTTGTGGAGTTGAAGTTTAACTGCACTCTGAATTGTTCAGTAAAGGGTTATTGGGGAATGAATATCAAACAGTTATTTGATTTGCTGTACAAAATGGATGGGAGACAGTTTATTCAGAAGATGCATTCTCAGGATGCAGCTTTCACAAGCAGCTGTATAGAATCTTGTCATGTAAAGCAGTATCCTTTTAAACACTTCTGAAAATGTTAAAAACCTGGTTGATTTTTAAATTATGCTTTTAAGCAAAAAGGCCTCAGAAGATAAAAATTAGATTTGAGCTTAAACAATGAAGGACCTAGTTCATGCTGACAGGCATTTCACCTTCGTCATGGATCCAACAGTGTAGAGGAGTTTTTATAATGAAAATTATATTCCTTATTAACTGTGCAGTATCTCTCAAGATGAAAGGGGCAACATGGACGAGACAATAACTTTTACATCTACATCAAGTGTGTTGGAAGAGAAGCTTGGAGAATCTCCAAGGTCACTTTATCCACTGGTCATCATCACTGTCATAGACCCAGACAACTTGCACATATTAGACAGTGAGGACCAGAATCAGATTGTAAGTGAGATTTTTTTCAATTTTTATGAATCCGTCATTATTCTGTTTTTACAGTTATGGCCTTACGGTATTGGTACTTGTGTTATTGAAGAAGGTATACATAGTCTAGTAATTCATAGGATTGAATAGTTACATTTGTAAGTGATTTTCTGGAGTTGTTCAAGTGTATTTTAAGCTGAACTTCCTTTGTTACGATTTATAAACTTAAAAAAAATGAAATAGCATCAGCGAAGATGGTTATATATAAATGTTAATTTGTTTATTTTTAAGATTGGATTGGTGACCATTGTTCACATCCAGGATAGATTTTGTGAAAATCCTTCACATATCATGGCACAGTACATCAAGGCTGCCTCTGGACATATTTTTCCCTTAAAGGTATGCTATGCTCCATGATAATCATTACTGAAACACAACCTAACCAAACATTTGTAGGTAGCCTATTCCAACCAAGGGCTTAAATGGTCAAAAATAGGAAATGCTTTTATTTTTCATTTTATTGATGACAAGCATGAGTTATTGACAGAATATTTTCATACGAGCATTTATATATAATTATCTTTTAAAGATAATGGTTCTTTAAAAAGATGAACAAATATTAAGGTAAAACAATGAAAAATAATCAATTTTCTGAAAGGTAATAAATAACTGCTTTGCATCATATCTGTGCCAAGTTTACCAACTAATGGATGTTTAGTGTTTTTTTTTTTTAAATAAAGTTGATATTGTTTTTACACATTATGATGGCATATAGTATCTTGTGGATACCCATGCATCAAAGTTCACCTGTGTGGGAGGTTTGTACTGTAACAAAGAGGATGGCCTGGTTTGCCATCAGTTTTTTTTCTGACTAATACAGGTGAAGAATCACTGAATGATGGATAAGGTCTCTTGTGGCAGGATGTGGGTGGATGTTATGCCCAATAACTTGTGAAGTCTTAATTTAAAAATCACATTTGGATATATGAACATGCTTACTTGCTAATGGACATTCTGTGTCAGGCCCGTAGCCAGGGGGGGTTCGGGGGGTTCGAAAGAACCCCCCTTTTGCAGGAATAGGTCCCCTCTGGGTGAAGTTTAATTAAGGTACATGAAAGTTTCATGGTAAAAGGTCCACTTTTTCAGAAAAAGAACCCCCCTTTTGAAATTTCTGGCTACGGGCCTGTGTGTTGACATGTACATTAGCTGGTGACAATAAGTAAATATATAATTTGTCTGAAACTAAGGTGGTTGTCCTGAAATGAATTCAGTTATTTTGTTTTTCTAACTGAAAGGAGTTTTGCACATGTTATGAGTCAGCTAAGTATTAGCCAGTTTAAACAATATCTGCACATCATGACCTCAAATTGCCTTACATTGCCAGCCGTTTTGATCTGCCGAAGTATTAACTGTAGATAATTTATTGTATTGATTTTCTTTCCATTTGTCTTGTTTTCAGTCTCTCTTCATGGCAAAACAGAGTGAAAGGCAACATTCTCAATCAAACACAACAGATGCTCCACTCAGTGAGACTACGTCTACTTCAGTGGAGGGTAGGGACTCAAATTATGACGATGAGGATGTGGATTCAAAAAATGATTGCACCGTGTGTCAGAATGCACCAATCAGTAGAGTTCTTTTGCCTTGTCGCCATGCTTGTTTGTGTGGCGAGTGCCTCAGACTAATAAGGAGATGTCCAATGTGTAGAGGCTACATAGACCGTTATTTTATAATTGACAGTGATGGTATTGGAAATGAACAAGATTTTCATGATGATTTCGAGGAGAATGGCACATGGTGGGAAAGAATGAACAACAAATTGAACAGATGGCTAGGCTTTTCATAAACTGATTAAGGGACATTGATGCACAGTAGTTGTAAAACTTTTTTATCCTGGCTTATATGTGAGTTTTTACTGTTGGAGATATTGTTTCATGAGAAAAGTTGTGGGAGTTGTTATATAGTCATTTACACAAGAGCTTCCTTGGGGTCAAAAAGCAAAATTGCCTGACATCTTTTGTCTTCACAGTTACTGAGTATTTTTATGTTAAAATAAAATCAAAACAAAAAGAAATCAGTTGTTGTATATAATAGCATTTTAATGAACCTTTGTGAATAAAATTCATACAATACACACCATGAAATACAACTACTAAGAGGAGCATCAACATATCCTACATTACAAGGCTTCTCCAGGGGTAAATTTCTAATGAAAACATTATACCTGGCATTGTTTTTCTTTGCACTAATTTTAATATAGGATTAGATATATAAACTCCAAATGCAAATGAAGTTAATGGCATATGTATAATGGCTAGTGACTGTTGACTAAAGGTCAAATGTTGGGAACTAGGCATTTGCTTTTGGCATTAAACTATAACACAAGGAATTGGGCATCATAACCTAAGTGTTATAACTTAAAGGTTTCCTGGTTCAAAGAACTCAATTGAAACAATAAAACATAATTATTAATGAACACTCCATTCCATTGTTCTTTAAAATAAAAAAGGCTTAGAATATTTTTGTAATTCAAATCAAAAGCATACACTAATACTTTTTTTTTTCAAAAATAAAATAGAAATGATAATTATATGTAGTTAATTAAACAAGGAATGCATGGGACAAGCTAAGACAAAGCTTGAGTAAGTAGTGCAAAAATAATAACTTGCAATGTATATCATATCCGTATATTCATTATTTGTACATACACATATACATATATTTATTTATATATAAACACAGTTCGCTCTACCACATTCACACATATAAAAATCTCCCATCAACAAATTTTGTTTTGTTATAACTGGACGGAATAACAAATAATTCTGACTTCAGTTCTTGCATGACATCTCTTTGGTTATCCCAAATAACAAAAGAGAAGCCAAATGTTCATTTCCAATACTGTGGCACATAGTGTAGCAGACTTAAAAACTCAGTAAGGCATATCTAAGTAAAATGCAATAATAACGAATGTCCTTCTGAAAACTGGACATGCTACAACAGTGCAACAGGCAATGCATGCCACAATAATTATAGTAAAACTATAATAATGATAAAATTGAGCAATCAATATTTACTGTAAATAATTGTTCACACATTCACATGGACAAGCAGTTCTGTTATAAAGATATGTATGAATATCACAATGAAAGAATGTTGACATAACTATTAAAGCCCCCTTTACACTGGACGGCGTCCTTTCTGCATCCCTTAGTACGGCCCGATTTGAGAGTAAAAAAATAATACTTCACGTGTTGACAACTGGCCGATCATTGAGCTTTCATGCTGCAACCAAAGCAATGCTTGTGCCTCCTACGACCACAGCAATGCCAGTTTTATGGTCCCACAAAGGACGCAGCAAGGTCACTGTGCAGTGTAAAAGGGGTTTAAGACTTAGGCATGTTTGACAAAAGTCCTGAAAGCAAAGGTGTGGACGGCATCAGTTTTAAGTACAGTATTGCCCCTTCCTAAGGACAGGGAAAAGCCCTGAAACCAGTACATCCTTGTAGCCTTCTCCAGCAAACAGTATCAGAGACGAGACTAATTCCGTGAGATCTCTATGCATATTATGCAATCTTTTTCTCTGCAATTCAAGATATTTGCTTCTCTTTCAAACAAAACACCATATCACATCATGGAGCCAACACCACCTAAACAGGCTTCAGGCTACAAATAAATCACTGTTGCTGATTCTGGATCATATCCTGTAGAGTCTGCATGTGCCTGGGTGCTAGATGACTGCTAGCCTGATCCAGTAAGCTTTGTCCCATCTGCTGGTACAGACTGGAGACCAGGCGTGCTGTGGCGGTTTGTGTATTGCCTGTCCCACCCTGTACAGAGCCACTGCTGGCCTGGGCACCAAGAAGGTGCCATAATAGTGGCAGAACATGGAGCATCACTGGTTTCTGCTTGCGTGGATATACTTTGGTGACCAAGTCTGCATATAAAAAAATAGAAATTTAAACTTTTAAACATTTTTATACATTATTAATTATATGACTCACAAAAATTCCATAATAGAATGCAATAAGACACCAAATTGAAGATGATAGTCTAAGAAGCTTAACAGTACAACTTGGCATTAAAAATTCTTCATATGTCATTTCTTCTTTGTAAATACATTCTGTGGAAACACATTTGATTATACTGCTTGATTATGTAATATCAATATGTTAAAAAATATTTCACATAGACTTTCAAACTTTTCATCACTTACATGCCACTTTCTCTATCATGTCTGGCTTCACTCTCACATTGCCAGCTTGGGCTTGGTTTGCAAATGGCTGGAGAAGAATAGCTTCATCTAAAAGAAAAATGATGCCAATCAGCATTCGAGTCGTCTATTAATGATGTTCTACTACACAAAAAAATAATTAAATCAATAACAATACAGTCTTTTAATATGCAAATGAACTGCTTTTAAATATTAAGTGAAAATTGCAATATGATATGACAACATCATAAAATTCAATCATATGTGGTTTTATCTGCTCTGAATATTACCTTTTTTTAATTTCTACCAAGCACTTCTAAATTAGACCGAAAGAGACAAACATACCTAGATGTTCCATAAAGCAATCCAATATATCCATTGCAGTGCTATAGATATCTTTGTTCTTGGAAGATAGATTGTTGGACACTGTTTGGATTACCATATTGATACAGGAGCCCATATAATCCTTAAGGAGGGGTGTGATCTGAAGCAACACTTGTAATGCAAACAGGTTCACTTTACTGTTGGAGTCATTCAGTCTTGAAACAAATTTATCAAAAATCTGAAATGGAAATACGACAAAAAATTATGGTGGTTAAGTCTTTGGAAATAGAACAATGCATTATTTGGAGGCTTTCAGTCATCTGATCTAAATAAAAAATGTTTTGATTTCAAGTTATCTTTTGATTAAAGTTTTTTACTCATGAGAAAACTAGTAATGGATGCTGCTTTAACATTATAGTTGTATATCCTATTTTTTTAATAATATATAACACATCTCAATGTTACTATGATAGACACCAGAAGTTATTAATCCTACAGCATAATCTAAAACTTAACTAATATCCATGCTTACTTTTGTGATATTTGCCCCTACAACTTCTGGGTTTTGCTCACACATTTCTGTCAGCCTTGTCAGCCCTTCGTGCCTCTGCTTCCAGTCGCTAGCTCCCAGCATATTGTTCATCTCTTTTATCTCTTCCTGAGTCTGTTCATCCATGTGTACCCTGTGACCTCGCTTTTTGCTCGAGGAACTGGACGGTAGGGAGGGAGAACCTTGGGAGCCATCAACCATACTACTGTAACAAGAAAAGGCAAAATGAAGATTTAAAATTGGGAGTATCATATTAGAATGGACTGTACACTTTGTCAGTCTAACACCAATCAGATAGAGAGTAATGCTTACAAAGAGTGTGTTCACATGGAATTTGTTAACCCCTAAGAAGATGCACCCTTAAAATAACAATGACTTTAAACAGAATAAACTTTGTTTTTTTCCTTGACAAATCAACTTTACCTTCCAGCAGAATTTCCACGTGACCTTGACCCTTGACCTGACCTCCTGGATCGAGCTGTAGGGGTGTCACTTGGATCATCACCAGGGCCCTAAAATATTGTTTAAAAATATATATATAGCAACAGAGAAACATTGAGATATCAAATTAAAAACAATGATATAAATTTCATTAACCTTTATTTTAAAACTCCCCGAAATTGATGTAATGACCTTTACCTTCTGTCTCACGTTGTCAACAACCTCCTGTATATTTCTCAGTGTATTCTGTGGAAGATATTTGGTGAGACACTTGTCAAAGTCCTGGTGGGACATCAGCATGTAGAGGATCTTGCGGGCATTGTACCTAGAATTGTAAAGAAATAATTAGGCTTTGAACAGCTGGTAAATAATAGCAAGAGAAAAATGAAAAATATGTTAAAATGATGAAACTACTGTTCAGCCTGGATGACCATACCAATTCACTCTTAAGAAAAATGTTCTTAAAAGTCTCTGCATGTGCAAATTTGCAAGTCTTAAAATGATTTTTACCTCGTCTCTGGAGAGCCATCAGTGGCAAACTGGGCCAGCAATGGCAATACTCTGTCTGTGGTATCTTTAACCCCACTGAGAATTCTGCCAGGTCCCATACGCTCAACTAAACCCACTAAAAGCTGGGAGGTGATTCTTCTTACAGTTGCATTCTTGTGTCTGAAAGTTATTTTATTTCAATCACCACTATAATTAATAAACAAGTAGATATTCCTGCTCCATATTTACATGAACCATTAAATGATTCTAAATTTAGTAACGTTGCTTAACATTCACTGAGTGAAAGATTTATGAAACAGTGCTTTAGCCCTACGCTGCAACCATTTCCAGATCAATGTTTATATTTCCCATCCCTTATTTCTAATTTTAAATTATTCAACATAACAACAGTGTTCATAAATACTAAATAAGGCAGAAGTTCATTTTGGGGCATTGGTATGATTAAATCGTCCATCATGAGTTATTGAGAACCAAAGCAGATCTTAAATAATCTAGATAACATGAAATTAAGATATGTAAACAATAAATATCTGTCTACTTACTGTCCACCTCCCTGAATGATAGCTACTAATGCCCTCTGTGGAGTAACCTCAGCAATCATGTTTGCCAGAGCTTTCTCACAATCCTCCCTAATAAAGCCATTGCTCTCACCATTCTTGTGAAGTAGAACTTTTGTTGTGTTTTCAAGATCCTGAAGAAGAAGGGAATATCATATCAACACCAATTTTATATTCTGCTAATGAAGGAATGTTTTACTTACACAATTAAATAATAAGAAAAAAAATTGAATCTAACCTTATACAAAGACATCTGGCAACCAAAATGATGAAAATGCTTTTGCTTTGATAACATGAATTCTTTTAAAAATTGCATTTAATTTGGTTGCTTTAATCAAGTGTCGCAGGTTTATGTGTATTTCAAATAACCCAGTTCCCATTATGTCTCAGAACCCATAATCGGAAAATCTACATAATCCTATAGATTTTGCAACGGCAACGTTAAGCAGTTCTATAAACATAGAGCCAGCTGAATTAACTTCCTAATCCACTCTGTAAACACAAAAGTACAGGGTGCTTCAAATTGTGTATCATTTATCACATATTGTGTACCTGTTACCACATATATATCATCAAAGCATTCACCTGAAAAAACCACTGAAATATACATTGAGCTCTTGAGATATGCATCCTTAAAACTGCTGAACATATTTATCAAGTAGAACTGAAGTGGAAAGACAACTTACAGCATCCATATTTTTCTTTAGATTGAGAAACATCTCCCCTAAAGTTGTGATGGCCAGGCGAGACACTTGTGATCGTAAATTTCGCACTTCAGCCATCACTGCCACATTGACGGGATGAAGGTTTGCAGCCAGGACAGCAGGATGGTGTTTGGCAAGTCGTCGAATCAGACTGAGACCATCACATTTCTCGTTCCTATAAAATAAAGTAGGGGATAGGGGAGTTACAATTTGAAATCAATAAAATAACGCATTTTAATTTTGGATTTGTGCAGGATGCATTGTACTATTGTTCTTATCATTGTTACTGTAAATTTTGCAATTATTTGGGGCAAAACATGAAGAAAAAAAAAGAAACACACAAAAGCAAACATGATTTATACCATATGGAACAACNTAACTAATATCCATGCTTACTTTTGTGATATTTGCCCCTACAACTTCTGGGTTTTGCTCACACATTTCTGTCAGCCTTGTCAGCCCTTCGTGCCTCTGCTTCCAGTCGCTAGCTCCCAGCATATTGTTCATCTCTTTAATCTCTTCCTGAGTCTGTTCATCCATGTGTACCCTGTGACCTCGCTTTTTGCTCGAGGAACTGGACGGTAGGGAGGGAGAACCTTGGGAGCCATCAACCATACTACTGTAACAAGAAAAGGCAAAATGAAGATTTAAAATTGGGAGTATCATATTAGATGGACTGTACACTTTGCCATTCTAACACCAATCAGATAGAGAGTAATGCTTACAAAGAGTGTATTCACATGGAATTTGATAACCCCTAAAAAGACGCACCCTTAAAATAATAATGACTTTAAACAGAATAAACTTGGGTTTTTTCCTCGACAAATCAACTTTACCTTCCAGCAGAATTTCCACGTGACCTTGACCCTTGACCTGACCTCCTGGATCGAGCTGTAGGGGTGTCACTTGGATCATCACCAGGGCCCTAAAATATTGTTTAAAAATATATATATAGCAATAGAGAAACATTGAGATATCAAATTAAAAACAATGATATAAATTTCATTAACCTTTATTTTAAAACTCCCCGAAATTGATGTAATGACCTTTACCTTCTGTCTCACGTTGTCAACAACCTCCTGTATATTTCTCAGTGTATTCTGTGGAAGATATTTGGTGAGACACTTGTCAAAGTCCTGGTGGGACATCAGCATGTAGAGGATCTTGCGGGCATTGTACCTAGAATTGTAAAGAAATAATTAGGCTTTGAACAGCTGGTAAACAATAGCAAGAGAAAAATGAAAAATATGTTAAAATGATGAAACTACTGTTCAGCCTGGATGATCATACCAATTCACTCTTAAGAAAAATGTTCTTAAAAGTCTCTGCATGTGCAAATTTGCAAGTCTTAAAATGATTTTTACCTCGTCTCTGGAGAGCCATCAGTGGCAAACTGGGCCAGCAATGGCAATACTCTGTCTGTGGTATCTTTAACCCCACTGAGAATTCTGCCAGGTCCCATACGCTCAACTAAACCCACTAAAAGCTGGGAGGTGATTCTTCTTACAGTTGCATTCTTGTGTCTGAAAGTTATTTTATTTCAATCATCACTATAATTAATAAACAAGTAGATATTCTTGCTCCATATTTACATGAACCATTAAATGATTCTAAGTTTAGTAACATTGCTTAACATTAACTGAGTGAAAAATTTATGAAACACAGCGCTTTAGCCCTACGCTGCAACCATTTCCAGATCAATGTTTATATTTCCCATCCCTTATTTCTAATTTTAAATTATTCAACATAACAACAGTGTTCATAAATACTAAATAAGGCAGAAGTTCATTTTGGGCATTGGTATGATTAAATCGTCCATCATGAGTTATTGAGAACCAAAGCAGATCTTAAATAATCTAGATAACATGAAATTAAGATATGTAAACAATAAATATCTGTCTACTTACTGTCCACCTCCCTGAATGATAGCTACTAATGCCCTCTGTGGAGTCACCTCAGCAATCATGTTTGCCAGAGCTTTCTCACAATCCTCCCTGATAAAGCCATTGCTCTCACCATTCTTGTGAAGTAGAACTTTTGTTGTGTTTTCAAGATCCTGAAGAAGAAGGGAATATCATATCAACACCAATTTTATATTCTGCTAATGAAGGAATGTTTTACTTACACAATTAAATAATAAGAAAAAAAATTATCAAAAATTAAATCTAACCTTATACAAAGACATCTGGCAACCAAATGATGAAAATGCTTTTGCTTTGATAACATGAATTCTTTTCAAAATTGCATTTAATTTGGTTGCTTTAATCAAGTGTCGCAGGTTTATGTGTATTTCAAATAACCCAGTTCCCATTATGTCTCAGAACCCATAATCGGAAAATCTACATAATCCTATAGATTTTGCAACGGCAACGTTAAGCAGTTCAATAAACATAGAGCCAGCTGAATTAACTTCCTAATCCACTCTGTAAACACAAAAGTACAGGGTGCTTCAAATTGTGTATCATTTATCACATATTGTGTACCTGTTACCACATATATATATCATCAAAGCATTCACCTGAAAAAAACACTGAAATATACATTGAGCTCTTGAGATATGCATCCTTAAAACTGCTGAACGTATTTATCAAGTAGAACTGAAGTGGAAAGACAACTTACAGCATCCATATTTTTCTTTAGATTGAGAAACATCTCCCCTAAAGTTGTGATGGCCAGGCGAGACACTTGTGATCGTAAATTTCGCACTTCAGCCATCACTGCCACATTGACGGGATGAAGGTTTGCAGCCAGGACAGCAGGATGGTGTTTGGCAAGTCGTCGAATCAGACTGAGACCATCACATTTCTCGTTCCTATAAAATAGGAGGTAGGGGAGTTACAATTTGAAATCAATAAAATTACGCATTTTAATTTTGGATTTGTGCAGGATGCATTGTACTATTGTTCTTATCATTGTTACTGTAAATTTTGCAATTATTTGGGGCAAAACATGAAGAAAAAAAAAGAAACACACAAAAGCAAACATGATTTATACCATATGGAAAAACTTTCATGGCTGAAGCAGATACTAAGCAGGTTACATGTTCATTCAAGTGCATTTCAATTACTATTGATTTCTCTCAATTCTCTTCTGGCATTTTTTCTATTTGGGTATTTTGTTCTGAAACATAAGCTCATTTCAGCTCACAGCAACCACATCATATACCAGAGCCCAGCTGGAGGGAATTTAATTTCCTGAGATATTAATCAAAAGGAAGCCAAAGCAAAACGAGTAGAATCATTGCACATCTTCATTTTAAAGAAAGAAGAACACATGATTAGTCCACACTGCAATCCTTGTGTAGAGTGTCTTACCAGCCATCTTGAGCAAGTTTTGCTTGAGCATCTTTGACTGCTGCTTCTGGGTTACTACAGCGTTTGAGCTCTGCAGCTTCAGACATGGGGCGCATGGAGGAGGACAGGGTGCTGGGAGGACTGTGATCTGCAGCAGAACTGACCTTACGCTCCTTGCTCATAGGGAAAGTATTGGACAAAGTTGGAGGCCTTGAATATAAGAAAAAAAATGATTATATTAAAATTATCTAAAATCAATGAATAAATATGAAATAGTCCTTTTTATCTGTGGATTTCAGATGGATGAAAAAGTGCCAATCACCTCTTCAGATTTGTAAAGAAAATAATTCCAACTGCAATTTTCTATAATGCCCATAAAGTACATAATTGAGGATATTAAGAGCAAACAGGTAGAAATTGCTGCCTTACATGTCAGACTAAGAAAGGTGTACTTACGATTTTGACTTCCTCCTAGGCGGAGTTGCTGCTGGGGGCTTAGTGGTTACTAATTTGTTTGGTGTGCCTGCATTATTACCCAAGATTGAGAGATCTAAAATGAAAGAAATGCATTAACTGAATTATCATCCCCTAGACAAACTAATCTAAATGTCTGAAATGTAGGAAACCCCACTGTGAAAATGATAATCCTCAATTTTTTTTAACAGTTTCATTGAAGGCACAAAACTGTTCAACCCAGGGTCATTTCAATTCATATAATCTAACACCACCATAAATTAACACTAATACTCAAGAAATCAAACACTTCATACAAACCTTCTAAATTGAGCTTTTCTTCTGTGGCCAATTTCTTTAACTTCTCCTGCTGTCGTTCCTTTTCCCTTTGTTTTTCTTCCTCCCTTCTTTTTTGTTTTTCTTCCATTATTCTTTGCTGCCTTTCTTCCTGTATTCTCTGCTGCTCTCTTTCCTGCTCTCGTTGCCTTTCTTCTCTCTCTTTCTGCTCTCGGAGTCTTTCTTCACGTTCCCTTCTTTCGTGTTCCTCCCGGACTCGCCTTTCGTGTTCTTTTCTTGCCTTTTTCTCCTCTGCTTCTTTAATCCTCTCCTCTCGCTTTTGCTCCAGTCTTTCTTTGGTGGTTTTAGACATAGATATGACAGACTCCTGTAGAAGAAACAATAATGTTTTATTTAAAAATACAAAAAACATTTTTCAAAAAGTGTTTCTCAAAGAAAAAATATTTTAACAAACAAAACAAGTTACCAAACAGTTACTTACTATTTTAAAAAAATTCAACAGATGATCAAAAAAGCCAAATCGATTAGATTTTAATCTAACAATACATCAAGACAAATGTCACCATTCCTAAAATACTTGTCAAGATTTCAACTGATTGACAAAAGTGTTATAAACTGTTCAAAATGTTAAACATAAACATTCTATTGAGAAAAAGCACCACTTACATCATCTGATTCCACAAGTCCTTCCTCATACTGCTTCTCATTGGAATTCTGTCGCATGCCCACACCATACACAGGGAGGTCCGGGCTGGCAGGTTCTTGCTTTGACTCCCTTCTCTTGTCTCTGTGTACAGAGGAGTTAAGTGACAAGTCACTGCCACTTTCTGCAGGGGAGTGATCAAACATACCTAAGAGGGTGGAGAAATTTTGACATGATAATGACTGAACTGGGTATGAATAATTTGGGCCATAAGAGCAAATCATTGTCTCACTGCAACTACGATTCCAAGAATTAATTATCTAAACCAACCATCATGGACACAGTTTGATAAACAGAAGCCTTAATAAAATTCTTACCAGTCCTTTATAATCAGCTACCTTAATGCTCTTTGCTTTTTTTTTCTTTAAATGGAATACCTTAATGCTTCACATAAAGCAGCATGACAAGCAATGTCCATGCTTTATCAATAACAACTGTCTGACCAATTTAATCATCTTCAGTTAATATTAACCCTGTCTCTGTGGTTATTACAGCTGCTATCAACAACAAATGTGTTTGCCAATTGATTTTTCAACTCAGTGGTAAACAGCTAGAAAGGGTCACTGGACCATAAGGTGACAGACTGGATAAAATCAAGACAGCAAGATAGATGCATCAGCCTAGACAAGTCTCTTCCAAATCACAAATTATCACATCGGCTTTCATTAGTTCGGTGTTTGGGCTTCTTCACACTATCTAAAAATGACCAACACGTTCTGACAAACTGATTCATAATGCCTTTGAAACTACTACCTTATTTTTGATTGTCAGCAGAAATGATCTCGAATTTTAAAACCAGATGAAACAAAATTCTGCATTGGCAATCTTCGGACGTAAAGAGGTGATTCAGAGAACTCTAAATCATCCTCCAAAAAAAATTTATTTTAATTGCTAAAGAAAATCATGTATATTGCCATCCTCTGTGATAATCAAGGGTTGTAACAAATCTCAAATTGCTTATGAATAATAATAATAATAATAAAACATATAAATAAAACATATACATAAAATCTTAAATTGCACAGTGTTATCTACACTTACCTTTTCCAACTACCCCTATTCCATTAGCAGCTTTTTCTTCCTCTGGATCAGCTGCACCATGGGAATACATGGATGCCATACCCAGGGGAGACAGCACAGGCCCTGGGGACACAGAAAAGGGGAAGGGGTTAACAGAGCTTTTTTCCCATTAACACAGAGCTTTGTAAAAACTCCCAAATGTCAGTGATGTACTTTTGTATATGATAGACTGAACTAATGGATATTTAAAATCAGCACTGTATAACATCAATATAAGATAAGAAAATGTAAGGATCCTTTTAGGTGGGGCAAACCTTCAAGTAATTAGGATGAAACTCTTTGCGTTGTGAATGTTGTCTCAAAAAGCAATTTTCAGTAACATGAAAAGCATGGTGAATATGCACTGTTGTGCAAAAGACTGCAATTCTTCAGAACTTATGAGAAAACAACCAGAAAAACATATCCAGGGATAAATTCTGTCATATTTTATTCCCTGCTGCATGACACTTGCTAGTCTGCCATTATTTCTAACCCCACTCTCCTCCAAATTTCACAAAAAATCTTGGTTGATTTTACTCTAGGTTGTAAGTCTTTGGGCTATCTCTGACGATTTTCATTACAAATCCATCCACCTCTGCTCTTATTACAGGTAAGTATTAAGAGAGATAATGAGAACAGCAGATTTAATTTCCTGCTTACTGAGGGACAAACCCATGCACCCTGCTGTGTTCTTGAGGTGCCTTGCAGGTATTAAGCAGCCTAATAATCAGCTACTTGCTAACCAAAGCTTAATTATACAAGGAAATGGCCACAGCTAAAAAGACTCCAACACATTAATAGACAACTCAGAAAAAATTGAATTTCATATACGGACTGCTACGTAGATTAATTTGCCAGATTACAACATTGCAGTAATAACTGCTCCTCATGATTGTTTCATTCTATTTAATAAAATGACATTTCTATGATGGTAGCACTCTCCATAAAACAACTACTCAACATTGGTCACAAAACTTGTAATACTGCAAAATATCAGTACAGACTAAACAGTGCTGCATCTATTCTCAAGGTAGACCGCCTTTAGCATTTCCTTTGATAAATATATGTCAGTAAGGTAAAAATCATGTTTGTCAGCTGAAATAGTCTTCAGAGTTAAGACTTCTGACAAACAGCTTTTACAACTAAAACTGCATAAAAATACAGCTTACCTTTAGCCAATCTCCTTTTTTCCCTGGCCTTTGAGTGTATCTGACTTGCTCTAAGATCCCCAGGGGTGGCATCCTCAGCATACCCCCTTCCTATTACTTTTACATCAGAGTTGGGATTCTCTTTGAAGGTAACGCCACTGTTTGGGTTATAATCCAAATGGGGACTCTCTTTTTCCATCCTGTTGTTATTGTCCAAAAGGTTTTCTTGGCTCTTTTTCTTTTCTTTCATGGAGTTCATCCTGGCTATTCTGGGTTTTGTTTCAAAGGGCGAGTCAGACTTCTTATTGCTACAATTTGATAAAAATGGAGAAAAAATTATTATGGCCTTGATTCAAGATGTAATATCGGCTCAATATGTATTTTAACTCTTGTGCATATCCATTTTCAAAGCTAAAATTCTGTAATTGTCAAGAAAATGTCTACATTTCTCCTCTAAAATTTTCTCCAAATTTATATATCAACACAGTTTTATATCACTGAAAAGGTAAAAATAAAAATAAAAAATCCAACAATAGCATAAACAATCAATATTTACTCAAATATATACAGGCCTGTTGCCAGCGATTTTGAAGAGAAAGAGCAAGTGTCTTTTTCTGGAAAAGTGGAGCTTTTCAAAATAATGACAGAGCCTAGATTATATTTTGATTCACAGCTGACCTTTTTTCAGTCAAAAGGGAATTTTTTGGAATTCCTGACACCCCCCCCCCCTCCACCGCCTACAGGCCTGACATATGCACCATCAAAAGGCACATTGTAACAAGGCAGCAAAGCNAGCCTGTCTGTTTTTCTTATATTGTGTTTACAGTGTTGCATATATGCTGAAAAGTGAAAAAAAAAGCATAACTACTAAAATAGTGGCCCGATCATGCCAATTTTCGAACTTGACCTGCGTTTTAGTAAGATCGATTACTCCTGTGAGTTTCATGACAACAGGCCTATCGGTTTTCCTTGAAATGTGTTTACAGTGTTGCAAACATGCTGAAAAGTGAAAAAAACAGCATAATTTCTACAATAATGGCCCGATCATGCTGATTTTCGAACTTGACCTGCGTTTTATGAATATTCATCAGCTCTGTAAATATAAAGCCAAAAAGTAAAACTGCCTTCCACTTATCGTGTTTACAAGGAAAGTGCACGGCGCCGGCGACGGCAACGGCGACGGCGACGACAGACACAGGTGATGGCAATATGTACAGACACATCTGTGTCTGTACATAAAAATGTTCCTCACCTTGTTCTCCGACTTCCCTTGTCTGATACTTCACTTGCTTCATCTCGTGGACTTAAAGTGGACAAAGGACTGAACACTCCACTTTCTAACAAGTAATCGGGACTGGGAGAATTGGAGTTTTCTTGACCTGGGTCAGTCCCAAACTGGTTTTGTTCTTGTCTGTCAAGTTTCTCAAACAGCTTTTCCACCTTTCTTTTGGCACTTGTACGGATGCTGCGGAGTGACGTATTTAGCTGTGGATGATTTTTAAAAATAAATATAAATAATCATCATAACAGTGTCAAAAAAATTCACTTTTAAAATAATCAATTTACTGATCATAATAATCTCTACTGGATGTGTTCAATTTCAATTAATGACATCATGCAATATATACAAAAAAATAAAATCAATTGCTGTACATGCAAACAATGAAGGGAAGGAAAACATTATTTCAAATATAGTATGTCAAACATTTACTTCTTCAGAATTAGGTGCACCATCCAAGGTGTTTTCAAGGCTGTCCCTCCCACTGTCCTTCTCATCATCTTCTCTCCGCGCAGAGCCTCTATCTGAGAGTGGAGGGACTTTGTGTCGTTTTGACGCAGATCCGCGAGCTAAGGTGGGTTTCAATGGGATGGGAGATTCCAATGGATCAACTGAAGATGAATAATACGAATAATGTGACAATATTTCACCTTTCATAAATTCATAACCTTCGTGGGTGTGGTCTTTGTGATCATTTTATCCTTCAATTATTCTGCATGTGCTAATGGAGCACCACTTGATCTTTTTTTCAGCCCTTTCTGTCATTAATGGAATTGTCACAAAAAATTATAAAAGATGGCCTGTTACACAATCCATTTCACGCATGCCAGTGTGCACACCTATTGATCAATTCATTCAATTAGCTTATATCTAATGACTTCTACCTGAACTGTGTGTTTTGCTTCTTTCTGAGCTTCCACACCCATGGAAATCAATATCGTGTGACTCTTACACAATAGATTGGCCCAAAGAGTGATGAGTTTCCGGCCATGATTGCACACAACTTGTTTTTTCAATCCCATTTAGCTCACATGATAAATCGTCATGATGTCAAAGACATGACAAGATAATGAAACATGGGTAGGTTCTTGTCCTTTATTTAGTTTGCAAATATGTCACTGTCATTATACAACAAATAATAATACCATTACTCATTATGAAGACTATCTTTTATCCCTTTTTGCCGTATCTCTTACATGGAAAATATTAATGCACAAGGACTTATGCAGGGTTAAAGAAGAAAAATCAATTAACCAGGCATTGTTGAGGCCTAGGCTCCAGCAATAATAAAATGTTTACGGCATTAATAAGGCTTACTGCAAACGACAACAGAGAATCAATGACAGATGATTCTTAGAATTTCCACGGTCAAAGTTTCCCAAAAGCCAATAACAATTTAGAAATGGGATTCAATCAACAAGTTAAAAGTACTCACCATCTCTCCTACTGTCTTGGGTGTAATGGTCTCTGGGGAGGCTTTCCAATGGATGGTTGTGTTCAGGCCAGTCTGGAAAGTTGGGTGTCTCTGGGGCTGAATAATAATAGCAATAATAACACAATGAGCAAGTTTGGAACAGTGAAATTAATGACAAAAATATATGGTTCTCATAATCTCATAATTCAAAGAAATGCGAAATTAATAGCTGCATTTGTAATGATAACACAGAAAGGAGTGCTCTGTTTACAATATCTGGTTGGAAACAAATTTCCTCATTAGTTTGGGTACAGTCTCTAAGTGAATTCACATCTCGTTATCCAACTGATAGACATCCACGAACAAAATCATTACTAATACTGACTTTATTTATGGCAAATGGAGATGACCTTTCAATAATCAACTGGTAGACCCAAGCTTAATGAGACACATGGCAAATAACAAGTCATTAGAATATGACAACTAACAATAAGCACTTCTACTTTCTCTATATGTGCCATTGGTGTAGTAGATTTATGGAAAGTTATTTGTAAATGTAGGCTGAGAGGAGAGAGCACTCTTAACTAATGCTTAATATTTGCAGTATGACCTCAGCATACATCAAAATTAGAATTAAAATTAACAACATGCCATGCTGGGAAGGGTAAAAGCCATTATCACTAATATTTGCTGGTTGACGCAAACAAAATTTGTTTATGATGCAGATTCTTTGTACCCCTAAATAATTAAAGGCCATCAGAGACAGCCCACAGAGATAAATGATGATCTGGTTCATTAACTAAATAGCAAATAAATCACATTTTACCTGAAATTGGGTCCAATATCGGCTTGTTGGGTTTTGTTTCAAAGTCCAGTCTTTTCCCATCTGGCCAAGAGCTAGACAGATCCTTAACGTCTTTGCCCCCAAATGAACTGGACGGAAAGTAAGGTTTGTTGAACATGGCTGTGTCATCAGGATAGCTTTCTGCCACTGGCCCACTGCTCCCCCTACTACGTGCTGGTGATGATGTGGCTGAGGACATAGGACCACCTACATAATGGGAAACACCATCGAAATTTATTTTTCATAAAATTTGATATTTAAATTGGTGAAATATGCCACTCAACTTCTTAAAATATGCCACTGTACTTCTAAGTTCATTTGAAATATTAAGTTTCATGTCATTTCAAAATTTCCATCATATATGATTAAGTGATAGTAATAACCGACACAAAAGCCTCGATGCTGAAAAATTTCATGTGTACTTGTTTACCTTTTTCTGTGCCTGAATCATTGTCTCTGTTTGATTTTAACTTGTTTCTAAGATATATTTGTTTGTAACTACTGGCAGACTTTCCACCTAGAAGATAACAGCATATAAGACCATAAGACTCATTACAAAATAAAATAACTTACAAATGCATCTCAAAACTTAACTGTCATCTTAATAATATTAATGAAAGTAAAATTATGAAACAAACCAAAATGGTCAGTATCTTTACATTGCTGTTTCTGGTTGTTCAGCAGATAAATAGAAGAGAAAACATCAACTCTTGTAGAAAAACAAATCCCTAGGTAAAAATATATAAGAAATGTCACGGAAATGTGATCCAGCATGAATATACCAAAATATCAGTGACAATGTTTATAATCTGACAGGATTTTACCTATTTGACAAATCCTTTTAATATTTCGACAAAATAAAAATTTGGCAGCCTACTTGTAGGCCTGCAATCATTGAATCAGAAGCAAACAAAAAAACCTGTTAAAAATGCACACCTGATCACAATTTGTTTTTATCAAATACAAGCAGAAAATTATTACCACCATTAGTTCCATGCCTTATATCTATACTTGACAACAAACAATCAATGTGTTACCTGTGTCAGGAGACTGATCTCTGATGGGAACACCACTACCCCCAGAAGTCTGTCTTCTATATGGTTTACGTGGAGGAGGCTGGTTTTCTGTATGTGCTCCCAAGCTTTCTTCGCCCCAAGTTGTCCTTGGTTTAAATGGAGGTGGGGTACTCTCTGTTAGAGGTTTTGGTGGACGGGCCTAGAAAATTAGTAAAATAACAATTTACATGTTACACTTGATCAAAAATCACACAAGTGCATCATGATGTGATCAATGCTTTTGATTAGCAGTTATGCAGAACATAACACACTATAAAAGTGAAGAAGTAAAATTATTATTATAATCATGTACAGTCTGGGTGGTTGGGAATTGTTATCTTACCAGCAAACAAACCACTGATAGTAAGAGGATATTATCTTAATCTGTTAGATGATTGCTTCTATTTTTTTCCAGACAAATAAATCACATACTAGTATATATTTTTTCAAATAGTTTATCTTTAATTCTGCTACAAAACAATGCACTTGTCCATGCAGAAAGAACATACTGGGGCAGTGGACCCCTTTTTGCTAATCTGAATTTTCACCTAAAGCCTATCCAGCAAACAAAATTCCATTAGTATTAGACGTTCTCTCTTTACTACCAGTCTCAAACACTTATCTACAGCCCAGACTTGGTTTTAGTTTGGTTGGTAAATCCATTTGGCAAATAGAGAAATAGCCACAAGTGATAAAATATCTCAATTCTACCCCTTGATAAGTGTGCCAAAATCTCAATACTTTTTTATGTGAAAAAGTGCAGACAAGTCCCACTTTCTACAAGTAGATGCATTACTAGTGTTTACGTGCATAATCAATCTGTTTAATCTGTCATTATGAAATTATACAAGTCCGTAACAAGTGACATGGCAATGTCTGGGTTGTATAACATGTCACACCGCATGAGGAACAAATCAATGAAGAGTTCCGCACTTCAAATTGAAGCACAGAAAATGGACAACTGTGTGCTAATGAATTCTTTATGATAGAAACAGGTTAAATGTTTGACAGTGTTAACAGAGCTAGAAACAGTATTCCTATGCACACTTTCAATGTGTCTACAACAGCAAGTATACTTACATTGATTCCATCCTCTTTAAATAATACTCTTAAATGATGTAAATTATTAGTTCAATATTCTAGCAAATCGATTGATTTTGGTGCTATTTAAGCTTAAGATATGTAATCATGCTGCAGTAAACTTTGAAAGTTAAAAAATAACAATCTTATTTAAGCAATAAGTTCAGTAACGGCTTTAATTTTTTTAACCTCTGTCATTGTCCCTAACACCCTTGACACACAATGCTCCTTCTTGTCACAGCAACATTTAAGTTTATGCCATTTTTTCTATATTTAGAAAAAGCAAATAAAAAAAAAACTTCCACAAAGACCTAATAACTTTGGCTTAACATGTTCTATGCATTTGGCTCCAAAACCCTTTAAAACGTAGCTTAACTATCAATGAAAACCTTTCACCCAACAACTGGCACTGAGCAAACAATGAAGTACTTACACAAATATCATAATAGAAACTAACACCATAACAGTGCTTTATACCACACATATCTTAATACTCGGCTCTCTTTATTTCTATATACTTATGCCTGGACTGTGATAGTCAAATCTGAATGCAAATGACATGGCAAAAAAAGAAAATATATATGTCTGAACCAACTGCCCCTTTTCATTATAGCCCTTCTTCAATGAAATTTAACCCTTATCTGTACTAGTAAGCAATGTAATATAATGAAAAATACTTGATCCACCCTTACTTTTCAAATCAGAACATAGACTGAGTACATATAGAAGCACTATTGCAAGGTCCAACAAGTGATCTTAACTCAAGTTTTACAGAAAGATTCTGTATTCAAAGTACATATAAAAATACATTCTATTTTATAGCATTTCTTTATTATGGCAACATACTTTTTATTCCACAAACTTTAAGTAATTCTATTTATAATTTTCTTCTATATTAATATTGTGCAAATGTTGATTTCAGATAGCTATTTTGACCCATAATTGTGTACATACAGTACACTTGCTCTGTGAATCTAGGCATGCCACTTAAGAGGAGTAATTAGCTGGAAAGGATGAGGGGCAAAGGGGATTTAGATATCAATTTTGAAATTTAAACTTTTTTACCTTTGGCAGTTTATGAACAAGAACCACTAGAGTCAAGTGTGTTCAGGCAACAAACTCAGCTACAAAACACAACCTTTGATGTTTGACCACATAGCACAAGCTATATAACAATTGCCAATTTCTTGGTTCATGAATTTATTATGGGAGTTCTAATGTGATTTAGGTATGCATTATGTTAAAGAAAAGAATAAAATCTGCTCATTGAAGCACAACTGGTGTTATTGATTAGCCATAAATTTGTGTGGGTGCCAGGATGTAACCGTGTTTCTTCAGTGAGGTCTTTATTGTGCCACTGCACTGGTGTGTGCCATTTCCCCAATGAATCGATTTTACAATTGATTTTAACTCCCAACCAACCAATTACAATTCATATTCATAAATATCAGTATGTTACACCATGATTTACCTTTATTGTACCAGACAAAGTAAAATATCAACTTTCAAAACTCTCTGCAAAACCTATTTCATCTTTCTCGTATAACACATGCATGGCGAAGTTGGATAAAATAATCCTATTTCATATTCAAGTATAATTAATTTGCAAAATATATGCAAATAAGTTTGTAGGATGGAAAATAAAAAGAAATATATTTATGATAAAAAGGTGAAAATTTTATTGCTCTTGATAATAGATATAGCATAGAAGTTCTGTAAGCTTTCTAATGCAACTGCAGTGTTGTTCACAGCTGGAGTACTAGTGCTTTCAAAATTTTTATCCATATAGTATTTTAAGTTATAATTTTTTATTCATAAATCTACCTGGACTGATGAATTAACATTATTCTAAAAATGTACTGACACATGAAAAAAACTGCAGCAATATACAGTACTTTACCAATTCCTGAACACCTCATAATCTACATTACTTGGCTTAATTCACCGAGTCACAATTTTAAAAATCATCAAAAGAAACCCTTATTTAATAGTGCCAATTGATAGCCCCTCAAAAATTACTCAACATCCTTCAGGTAGCAAGACCTAGTTCTGACAGTAACCAAACTGGGGACAAAGTGGACATCATTTAACCCTGCCCTGAGTGGACCATTACCCACCTGTGCTAGGGCTTACTGGTATGAATGGATGCAAGTAGATCAATGTTTTGGAAAATAACACTCTCTTGCAATAGGTCACAATGCTAAGAGAAACACTGCCCAGTGATTCGTGTTTACACATATAACTTCTAAAGGACTGTCAACATAAATCTGATATAATCTGGTTATGCAGTTTAATTATGGCCAACACGTCTGTATCGGACCAACAAGTGACCGACTCAATTTCTTTTCATCAGTTCATTATTCTGAACAATGAGAGACCATGATACCAATGATGTATCATTCCCATTTAACTTAACTAACATAGATTGCTCCAGACAAGGGTAAACATTGCCGAAGATAAAATATCGACCAATTTTCTGCCAAAGAATTATTATTTACAAGCTATCAGATTATTTTCTTTGAAATTTCAGGAGTTAATAAAGAAGTTATCTAAAACAAATGCTAAGTCCCAACTCAATTTGAAGACAGCTTTATATTCCAAATATAAAACTAATTTTGTAGCAAAACATAAACAATATGTCAAGTAAATTGTTTCACAAATTTAAACATTTCTCCAATCTGCATTTGTGCCTTTAGGATCAAATGTGCATTACACTTCGGGTTTTGTTTTCAATATATTCACTGCATAAAAGTTGTTGTTTGGGGTTTCAAGAAAGGGAAAATGCATATCAAATTATGAATTTTTAGTCATTACACGAGGAAAGATCAAAATGTGGATTGGTCAAAGAAAGATTTGATTAACAGAAAATATCATCTTGCTACTCACTTGTGAAGCAGGTGTATTTGATGAATGATAGCCTCCATTTTCTTCCCTACCAATGCTGTCATCGTCCTCAGCCCAAGGGAGTTTCTTCTTATCCCGACCAGCACTGAGAAATCTCCTTGGAGAGGGTCCGGTAGAGCCAGGGCTCTCTAAAGCAGGGGCTGGTGTGGAGCGTGCAGATCCTGCAACTGATTCCAACTCCATGGTGTCTGATCGTGCTGATCTTGCAGAGCCTCCCCCACCCCCTGCAGCCTGCATAATCCAGTCTATATCAGCCCCTTGTGAGGCAGATATAGAGGCCGAACTTTTCTGTGAACTTGAAGAGAGAGTGGTGGCATATTCAACTAATCCCTCACTGTTGATTCTAGGAAGTTGTCGTCTGGCTAGCCGTGCCTGCACTGCAGCCATTACTCCATCCCCTTCATAGCTTAACTCTACACTATCTACAGCCTGGACTAGGGGCTGTAGCCTCCCAGCTCCCATAGCTTGGGCCAGCATGCCAAAACACTCCAAAGATGCTTGTCTTACATGCCTCTTGGAGTCAACTAGTGTAGGCCCTATAGTTTGACACAATGAGGGCAGATCAAAGTCATAACTGGGAAAAGTCAGAAGTGCTGCTATGATGATATTCAGTGCTTCTTGGCGGATCCTTGCACTTCGATTGCCTAGCTGCTCACAGATCACAGATAACACAAATTTGGGAGAAAGCGAGGTCATTAAGTGTCTGGCCACTTTGTGCACAGACTGACGTACAACTATTTTATTGTCATTTAAACATTTGCACACAGCATTCAGTATTGGTTTGGAAAAAGGCCTAACACTTGAACCAAGCTTGACCACAAGCATGTCTAATATGTCCATGGTAGTCACACTTATTCTGAAGTTCTTATCATCAAGCATATTGTTTAGAAGGCCAACTAAGGGCATCATATGTGGTATAATTAAATCCACATCCTGAAGCCCTCCAATGATAATTTTGAGCTCTTCAATGGCAGCCTGTCTTGCTCTGAAGTCCTCCTGATTGTTCAATCTCTCCATAAGGTGACTAGGTATAATGCCCATCTCCACAATGTGAGAACTCTGCTGCTGATATGTGGGAGTATGAACAATAGGGTTCTGTTCCTGGAGAGGAGTACTGGGCCCTGATGGTCTTGGAGATGCCACATTGCTTTGTGTACTGACTGTGAATCTCCTTGGGGTACCATTTAAACTGGAGTTCAAGTCTGTGCTAGATGTCCGACTATCAAAGCCATTTTCTTCTTTTCTGTTTGTTAACTTGCAGTAGTACCGTCGGACAGGAACTGGCAGTCGCTGAATATATGCATCAAACACATTGTCTCCTACAAGAGTTCTGATTTTTTCAAGTGACATTAATGACACTTGAGTGAGATTGTCTTCAACACTTTGAGAAGTGGCTACTAGTTGTTTGGCCAAAGCCTGTGTAATTTCCAACAAATTCTCATTTTCAAACTCCTTTGTAAAGAGCATAGGTAGCGCAACAGTGGTCTCTCTCTTGACTTTGAAATCCTCATTTTCTAAACCAAACTGGACTAATGCATGAAAAACCTGCTGGATGTTACTGGTATATTTCATATAAACATGAACAGTTTGTATAACTGCTTTTCTTATTGTAATTTTGCTGTCTCCAAGATTAGGAATAAGCTTAGGAAGCACAACTGTCATGCACTTATCCAAGTTATCATCTAATTTTGGAATCAGTTCATTAATCAGGTTGATACATTGGTGGCGAACGTCCCAGTTGGTATCCGATACCGCCCTCGACAATCCTTGAAATATGGAGAGCTGGTCCTGGAATGGCAACCGGCCTCCATGTCTCCTGGCAGTCTGACGCAGCTGGTCTAGAATGTCTGCCCTTTTCTGGAAGCTCTGATCGTAGAGTTGATCGAGCACTACATCTTGTTCCATTATACTGATACCAGACGGATGTGTTATATAGTGATCATCGTTGACATTGTAAGCGGGACTTGGAAACTTTGCAACGGTACCTGCCATCAACAAATTTGTGCCGAAATTTAGTTGACGTAAACGGACAGGTTTCCCTGCAACGTTGTCTCAACTCACTGAGGTCCACAAAGTAAAAACATCCCGTTAATTTGACGACTGCTCCACAGAACCTACGGATGTCAGTCACCTTCCATCGCCAATAATCACTCACCGAGACCAAATATTGATCACATAAATTCCAAGATGGCTACTTCACTACAACAATCTAGTCACGTGACAAGTTCCCGGATGAATAATTTACATTGTGTCAGTTGCACTTCTGTCACATCTATAACAAGTAAGATGTAACGTAAACTTTGTAATACGGTAGACTACAAGTATATTTGATGAGAGGAAAGGTGGGGTGACACTGCCATTGGAAAATTTTATTGTGATATTAATGTAGGACCTACCTTTTTTGGAATTTATCACTTTCTCATCAGCAACAAGATTTTGTTATTTTAAAATCTTTAGAACGTAAACATCTTTAAAAATTTATAGCCACGTTAATGTTAAACTGATGCTCAATAAATAGGTTTATTTAACATATTTTTATTTAGTTGAAAGAAAAGGAGTATTAGAATTGTCTGTCCAAGTAAAACTTAACTTACATGAGGCTAGCAACTGAAATCACTGAAAAAATAATTACTAGATTTCTGCCACAAAAATAACTGTTCGCTTTGGCCAAACGATTTTTCCACAATTACCAATAGTTAATGAATCCATACAGCATTTCAAGTTTGTCCAATTTTTTTTTTCTAAAAAAGTTTTATATATAAAAATCTCTTAAGAGATTATAAGGGAGGTATCGTCGTCTGTGAAAGCCCATCTGTGATGGTCTGATCGCAAGCAGAGATTCCAGAATAATTGTGATAACCGCTGTTTTGGTGTTAAAATGAATTGTATTACAGACTTGACATTTAATATGNGTCAAGTCTGTATATTTCTATGAGTTATTTACAGTGTATTTTTTGTGAAATACATCCATCTCAACAGTTGTTATCCCTTTGAATTACGCAATAAACAGCATGCGGCGACTTTCACGGTGTCGCCCGAAAAAATTGGGGCGTTTTTTGCCGCTGGTCATTATTTTTAGTAGGCTAATTTGGTGTTTTTCTGATACTTTTAAAATTATTATTTTTTAAATCAATTCAGTTATATCTAGACAATATGGTGATAGGTAACGGTCAAATGTTTTTCACAAAACATGAGAAAGCTGCATTTTCTTGGAAGGTAATTTGCAATACCTTTGTTACCAGGCATTGTGAAAAATATACTTGAAGTTGAGGACAAAATGTGTCAGTCAAATAAACTTGCATCTTATAATACCCCTTTAGTGCAATCTAATTTTTGTTAGTATTTAAAAAAATGCAAGTATCATCCAAAAGAGTTGTTATTAAAAAAAACTCGTCACTAAAACCCTCATTAGGCCTACTGAATACGAAAACTGCATTTTAGCAAGGCATGAATCGAAAAATGTTAACATTATTGCACAAAAAAGGCAGATTGATCACTTTCTGTCATCAAAGGTTTAGAAAAAGTAGAATATGTGTTTAACTTTTTTCACTTTTCTGTTTTCTTCAACGTACGCCTACATGTAGGCCTATGTGGGGAGTCCTGCATGTAATAGGCCTATAACATCGATGTACATAGGCCTATATATTGAGAACCATTGTGAACTTAAACAATACTGTTTTGTTCTCGATCGTTAAAAAGTTTAACAGTAACCTAATATGTATTAAACAAGCTAATGGAAAACAATCCATTCTATTTTGAAACAGTAAGAACAATGTTTAAATAAAGCTGAAAATAAACCGTTCAAGTGCCACGTGGCGGAGCCACCTTCCCAGCTCTTCTTGAAATTAATGTGAAAACAAACATGGCGACGTCGGGCACGTCCGACACTATATCTCTTTTGGATATTCCACCAGAAATACTCGAAAGGATACTAAGTTGTCTCTCATACGAACAATTAAGCACATCAAGATTGGTAAGAATACTGTTTTGTTAATAAATAGAAAGTTTGATCTATTAAATTGGTGTTCTAGATTTTGACAATACTCGTTATGAAATGTTTGGGAAATTCCCAGTGACGCGTCGATATAATGCGTTCTTTTATTGCAGAATATATTTCGAAAATCACAAATTCAAGGTTAAAGGTAACAACCGAATAACTTCAAAATGTTTTTCTTTACATATTTGGTATTATTTAAGGCCCAGTAGCTCTTAAATTTTCATTAATATTTCCGTCTGTGTCTCGGTATCAAATTAACTTGGTTGACATTTTACCATGAAAAATGTTTCACTTCACTGGCAAACATAATTAGACTTGGTTTTTTAATTATTTGAGTGTTTTACATTATTTCAGGTGTGTAGAACATTTGACCAACGTTGTCAGCAACTCCTAAACCAGGGATTTACCAAAGTGGACAAGTTCCATGCACAATGCCAAAAAGAACTGAAAGTTCAACTCCCTCGAAGAGAGTCAGAGAGGCGCAATCATCCCCTTGCTCGCCATATTGACATCCTGGCTGCCATTGAAACTCGCCTGTCTCTCTTAGGAATGACGTATATGAAATATGTGGACCTGGGCCTGGCATGTTTTATTCCTGGCAAGGTGAGTTTTTTTTTTTTTTTTTCCAGACAAAAATAGAACAAAGGGGTTTACTGGATGATTTGTTTCAATTTAAGTTGTACCTGGGATCAAAATGTATTAAACTTTTAAAAGTTAAACTTTAAGGTGGGTAAAAAAAAATTGCATTGTGCCATGATTGTGGATATCCCCATGAATAATTAAAATTATTGCTTAATTTTGTAAGTAATTTCTTTACTTCCATTTCAAATGTAGGTCCTTGATGAACTCTTTAGAATTCTGCACTATGTAAAGAATGTGAACACTCCACCAAGGGCCCATGAACTTCTGCAAGAACTTAGAGACATATCCTCAATGGCTATGGAACACTTTGATGAAAAGATCCTCCCTCACGTTCGGCAAAAAATGACCCAGGCAGGAATTAGCCCAATTACTATGGCTTTTGCTAACAGAGCAGAAATAGCTGTCACACAACCAGGTGAATACTCATTTAATCTTTGGATTAGATTAAGTTTCTCATGGCTAAGTGAATCCTCATTTTATAATTGGAACCATATTTTAGTTTTTGAGCAGTGCTGGTTTATGCACCACATAATTTAGAACATGTAAATTCTGATTGTGCAATAAGATTTTCTATGGTATATTAATATAATTAATATAAATAATAATTAGCTTGTATTAAAAAATGAAACTATAAGGAATACCTCAAAATAATATATTATATTTTAGGACCTGCATCAGCAAGGCCCATCTTCACCCAAGAATCAAAACCTGCACCTACCCTAAGGCATAAAGCTGCAACTCCCCCTGGGTCACAAAAGATATGCCAGTTTATCAGGACCATTGGAAACAACAACAAAAAAGACATATCTGAGTGTAAAAATACCGTGAAAGGGTTGAAACAAAGAGTAGCAGAGCAAGATCGAAGGATAAAGGAGCAAGAAGAAAAAGCAGAAATTCAAAACAGGAGGCTTGCCGAGCAAGAGCAGAAGATCATAGACATGAATCGCAAAATTCTGGAGTATGACCAAAAGTTTGTTGACCTTACTGCTGAGATCATGAAAGTGCGGGGTCAAGGCCTTGCAGCAAGCACGGGGAAATCGGCAGACAAGACAGGGACTGATATTTCAGTGTATCTTGCCCACGATGAGAAGCAGGATGAGAAGGAAAAAGATGGAATGGTATCCCAAGAGAGTGGGTACACATCAGATAATCAAAGCAGTGTGTTTGACAATGAAGAGGGATCTACAAGTTGTACTCAAGTGATGAACAGATGCAGCCCTATTCAGTGTGGCAAAGGGAAGAGCACTAAAAAGCGCAAGTGGGACCAAGAGAAGGGGGATACCGTGGGCGTTAAGATTTTAAAATATTGACTTACCAACGCTCTAGTTTTAGAACAACTATTGCATAAGGTTATAATCAACTTTCAATCACTTATCCTGCTGAATTCATTTTCTTTCACCTCATCATGTGCATATTCACCTCAACATATGTAGCAAGCCTAAACAAAATTGATGTGATTGATTTTTTGTGTTTGTATTGTATAAGTTTTTCTCCAAGATAGACCCCCCTTCAAAAAAAAAGAAAGAAAGAAAGAATCAATCATTGCTGCAATGATTTTGGAATGGGTTCTCATATTGCCATTTCTAATTAATGCAGGGTATCTAATAAGGAAGTAGACGGTTTGAACCCATGAGAAGTTGACGGAAAATGGCAACTCAAAATGGCTACTATCGTATTAATCATGTAACATAATGGCGTGTCTGCATGTATTACCCAAGGGTGTTTCAGGCATGTTCTTTCAAGAATAAGGCCTTGGTTATTTAACCAGTAAGTATGCCCTTTCACCAAGGTGCATTTTCCATAAGAAATCAAATGTTAGAATGTATGAGGCTAATAATGAAAATTAAGCATTAAGCCAACATAAAGTGATAGATGGTGTTTCAAAGATGTTTGTTTTATATTATAAACATTTTACATGATTATACATTCATATGATAACAGCTTTTTGATGTATTGATGCTTAATTGTAATCTAAGACTGAAACACATAGAATTTTGAGTGTTCAAGCTAGGAAGATACCGCAAATTTTCTTTGCTACACGCCATTATACTAATAACTTAGTAACAGTCCATTGTTTTTTTAAAAGGTTGTAAATGTCTTAATAATAAACTGGTATGCACAACTTACACTGTGATTTAGTTTTGACGTCACTTCCATTTTTGATTAAAATGATTATCTTGATTTTCCTATAAGAACATATACACTTTTCAACTTTGGATGATCTCACGGTTGGATATTCGTGGCTCAAAAATATCTATCACTAAAAAACCGGTGCATAGGTTAGACTTGTGTGAACGGTTTTGGATATGGTGCACTTCACTGATTAAAGGGAATGTGTTGAAAATTCCAGAAAACTTTTGCTTTAAGAAAGGACCGATGTTCACAGTGTGCTTTAAAAGGAAGAGAAATGGTCGCGGAAGGTTATCATGTAACCTGATTCATTTGTTGATTTTGTGCTATATATCCATGTAAGCAACCCGAGTTCATATACATGCTCTCTTTAAATATCTACTCCGAAATATCTACTCCACGACAACCATGCGACTATTAATAAGGTGAATATCTAATTGTCCACGGGAGAGAATGGCGTCTCATTTTAGACAGTTTTGTTCAAAAACGAAAGTTCTATAATTTTTCATAATGTATATTTTCACTCAGATTCAGTAATAGATGTATATTTGTTAAATATTTGGACAAAGACGCGATAGTGCCATTTCCGCACAACATTTTAGAACATTTTACGATGGCAAATAGAATATAGTTACTTGTCTTCAAATTTCATTCTTATACAGATATTTTGCTGTATTCAATAATTATTACTGCTTAAACACTACATATTATTGAAATGAAAGTTGAAGTCCTCTATTCTGTGTCAAACCAATTTGAGGGGATAGGGTTCCCGGTTTTTATGGAAGCTTCCAGACGAAGGCAGCCGACTTCTTTATTAGCATTTCCTTCATCTTTCAGGTTCAGCTCCGCAAAATAATCGCCCTAAATATAAAACGAAGAAAGACAATCACAGCTTTGGTCGTTATTATCTCAAAAAGTTTTCGGATAGTCATACATAGTAACCCCGATTTTCAGAGAAAAAAATCTTAACAGACGAGACGGTTAAGATTTGCCCGAAAGTTCTGATTATCTAAATAGATGATGTGTGAAACAAGCCAGACAAGTAGGGCATCTACTCTATTCTACTTACTTATTTTATCGTGATTTAATATTGATCATTATCATCATTATTATTGAACAAGATTAAAAAAGTAAACGTATTGTGAAAAATGAAAAACAAGGTTACAATACTACAATTAAAAATCCCCCGTTAACTCCACGAGAAGGTATGAAATATCTGAAAACTCACATCAGGGAAGTTGAGGAACACTCCTTGCCAAGGAACTGGAAGTGTTTCTGAGGTTGGAGGCAATACATAACGGTCTACCTCAATGGGGCACATGCAGCTTAAGCCAGCATCCGTTAACACGGTGGGACATCCCCATCTCAGGTTGTGGAAAAGCAGATAGGTGCATGGATACGTGTACCCGGTCTTGTAGGCCTCCCTGAATTAAAAAAAAATGTTTAGGACACGTAATGCGGAAGGAAGAGCTGGAACATCTTAGTGTGACAGGCAAGATCAACGGAAAGTGAAGCAGGGACAGGCAAAGATTAACATACACAGCAAGCATAAGTAGATGGACAGGAATAGCGGAGCAAGAAGTTATAAGTGGAGGAGGGCCAGTTACAAGGATCGAATTTCAAAGGACGCCGCTTTGAAAAGAATGCTGCGATCTGATTGGACGAGAGAGATAATGGATGTCCCGTTTCTACTCCTTCTCTTTAGAACTTCTTGAGCGAAGCTAGACCTGTTGAAGACCGCAAAGGACAGGAAGAGGTGGAAGTCCATGATCGCCAACGTCCTAATGGGACAAGGCACTTGAGAGAGAGACGTTAAATCTTGGAAGGACGGCGTGTGCGAGTGGAGTTGTAGGCGTGGGATAGAATGTTACTGATTTTAAGCAGAATTTTTTTTTATTCAGGGGAATACACACACACACACACGCTTATTTATTTATTTATCTATTTATTTATTAATAAACATCAATAAAGATTTTTATTGTGATAATGAAAATTTATTAAGGCCACCCGAGGAGAAAAAAAAAACGAAAATGGATTTGTACACGGCTTTGTAATTGGCTGTGAAATTGACTTCGAAACGCCGCCAAACTTTGTTTTATTAGCGCCCTGGTGTATTTTTCGTCCACAGTTCACCTTTTTTGCCGCTGGCATTGTCACGCCTAACGTTTAGCACTAACGTGTGAGAAAAAAAATTAGACGCAGGCAAACGTAGGTGCACGTTATATATCCGGAGGGAGATAAAATGTTTTGAGCATGTTGAATGTCTTCATCTGGATGCACTGGAAACGGGCTGCTTTCCACGCTCAAAGTTGCGCGTATAATCGATGTCACAAACGATATATATATATATATATATATATATATATATATATATATATATATATATATATTTTTTTTTTTTTTTTTTGCTAGATGTGACAGAGCCTAAAAGTACACCAACGTATAAAATGAACACTTACCACCACCGAACGAACTTGCTTGGTTCGAGGTTTTCCCATGGCCCGCGCACATTCGTTCTGAAGGTTATGTCGAGTCTTGTGCGAATGGGTACCTCATTTCTAACGGAGATATCGTACGATAGCGTGCCCGGCTGTGTGATGTCCCATGGGACAGGGGAAAAACTGTAGCGATTCACAAACAGAGAACGGTTTGGGTCTGTGCCTACAGAAACAAACAGAGAGGGCGTGAAGATTTGACATTTTTTTCAAGACACTCAGTAATGTTAATGAGGGTTACTGTCCATTCCAAAGAAAAGCGCTCTTTTTATTCGAATCTTTTATATGTAATGAACACCGAAAACACACAAAAAAAAAAAAGAAAAAAAAAAAGAAAAGAAAATTGTACCCATATCAAATTTACTTGTGTCAATATCAAATGAGAAATTTTTTAAAATCGAAAATACTGTGTCATTAATTGAGAAATTTTGTACCAATCAGTAACATACCGCAGTCCGTGACTCTCAATCTCTGTAGAACGTCTTTTGAGTAGACGAAAGACACACAAAGCGCCACGACTACTGTTAGGAGCTTCATCTTGTCTCAGACTTAAGAGAAAATAACGGGCTGTCTTCGTAGTAGTACTTATCACTGAGAATACACGATAAGGAACCAAGACTGGCTCAGGTAAGGCACCCTGTGTATCAGAGATTACTAAACTAGCACCCATGCGATTCCCAGTTCAAACAATATAAGGCCTCGATCCCAATGAAACTATCGTTCTAAGTAGATCGATCTATCTCCGCAAGTGCTCTAGCTGAGTGCAATCAGCTTAACAGATAAACACGCGCACTCCTGGCGTTTTAAGTAAAAAAAAAGAAAAGTTGGTAATTATACGAGAATGTTGGAAACAAGAGGAGGCCTGTCATTCAATAAAGCTGATTGCACTAAGCGAGAATCCCCGCAGAGTTGGGTCGATCCACGTAGACCAGTAGTGTCTTTTGGGAATAGGGTTTCTTAAGGGCGTGTTCTACGTAGATCGATCCAACTCCGCCAGAACACTCGCTGAATGCAATCAGGTTAGCAGGAGACGTGTTAATCTGTTTATCTGTTTGCATTCAACGGGAGTCCCCACGGAGTTAGATCGATCTTCGTAGGATCATAGTTTCATTTGGAATGGATCCTAAGATTCTGAATTATATGACCCTCTTTATAATCAACAGATTTAATTTTGTACAATCAACTTGGACCCGTCTGGTATTAATAACCAAAGTTAATTTAACAAATTATAATATATCCTACTTACACCTGATGTTGCGAATATATCTTTTTATTTAAACTCTGTTTGTTGTGAGGTGGACATGTAACTGCATGCCTTTTGTTGGATCTTGGTTAATCCATCTGCAGTGGTTTAATGCACTAATTTGGCTACAGCCTAGTTTGAACATTGATAAATTAGGGTGAATAATGAGCTAAATAATATTCTGACAAAAATTTCAGGTGAGAAGAAATGACCTCAACAGTCACTCCCGACACGATGAAAACCTTATCAGTACAACAGGTGTTTTTGTTCTCACGTGACTCACAGGGAGAACGGTATTCTACAGTTAGGCCACACTTTTTTATTTTTATGGATGACATCCTCTGGGGACCCCAAAATCGGTGCGAGCGGGCGAAAAAAAAAAACAGTCCAAAAAAAAAAAAAAAACTGCTTAAGAAAAGTTATGTTTTCAGTACACAGCTGGAAACACTAAATTATCACAGAAACACGTATCAAACTAACAACATGTCTTTATCCATGCTCTCAAAATATTAAAGCATTGTGAATAGGGCCTACTTCGTAGAAAGGTAAAAAGTCATGAATATATATGCTGCATATTACCAAATCTATTTAAGGTTATTTCATGCATTCTGTTGGTATAGCAATCAATAAAACACATATCAAATAAACAGCGTGTCTTTATTTGTACTCTCAGAAANGCTCTAGCTGAGTGCAATCAGCTTAACAGATAAACACGCGCACTCCTGGCGTTTTAAGTAAAAAAAAAGAAAAGTTGGTAATTATACGAGAATGTTGGAAACAAGAGGAGGCCTGTCATTCAATAAAGCTGATTGCACTAAGCGAGAATCCCCGCAGAGTTGGGTCGATCCACGTAGACCAGTAGTGTCTTTTGGGAATAGGGTTTCTTAAGGGCGTGTTCTACGTAGATCGATCCAACTCCGCCAGAACACTCGCTGAATGCAATCAGGTTAGCAGGAGACGTGTTAATCTGTTTATCTGTTTGCATTCAACGGGAGTCCCCACGGAGTTAGATCGATCTTCGTAGGATCATAGTTTCATTTGGAATGGATCCTAAGATTCTGAATTATATGACCCTCTTTATAATCAACAGATTTAATTTTGTACAATCAACTTGGACCCGTCTGGTATTAATAACCAAAGTTAATTTAACAAATTATAATATATCCTACTTACNGGAGAACGGACGAAAATCGGTGCGTGCGCAGGATGTCATCCATAAAAATAAAAAAGTGTGGCCTTATGGATCCAAATATATGAAATTGAACCACTTGATGAGCACATTTTACTAGGATAACACAAAATAAGAATAAATGTACAGACTTGACATTTAATATGGAATATTTCAGTTTTAAAGGTATACCTAGGTAAAAATGCTTTCTTTTTTCAAAAAACTCAGATCTCACATAAGATATCTGACTGGAGAAGTATGAAGTCAGGTGTGTCGCTACCAATTAACTGACTACCAAGTCTGTTGCACTGCTGCATTGTGTAATATGCAGTGATTTAATTGTCTGGTGCTCCTTTGGGCTGGTCAAAGCTTGGCTTTAATGAAGCATGGTTCTGTCAAAAAAGTATCCATATGTCGGCAACTACTGTATCGAAGAATTTGAAATTTTGCATGCAAACGGTCTGTTTTGCAGTGCGTAAAATGAATTAAGAAGTGTTTTTTAAAATTGTTAAGCTGTGCCAGAATGGCGCGAAAAAGACAGACATTGCCAGACAGATTATTGTGTCAAACGGAATGGTCTGCACAGTTTTATAGGGTTATGCCCAGACTGATGCACCTACACAGAGACCACGCCCAATGTATCGACATCTTACCACCAGGTTACAGGACTCACTGTCCTTCAGGATATGCTGCTGCAATTAAACCGAAACCACCCAGTCCGTTTTGAATGAGGGGCAAATTGTCACCAAAACGCGTTTTTTCAAGGCTCTTAGCGAACACCAAAATGGTTTCAGCAGGTTAGGATATCAGGCGACCTCTGAGGAAGCCACTGTAAACAGCTAAACAGCATAGTCTGTTTCTCTAATGAATTGGGGACCCTGACCATTTTTGGGTAGAACACTGAAATCGCGTGGCTTTCTTTATTGAAGTCAGATTTCACCCGTACCGCTAAAATGGTCAAAACAGAGTTTACAGACATCCTGAAGAGGCCTACGACAAGACGTGTGCCACTTTTTAAGTGACTAGGGTCATTGGAAGCATCACTATTTGGAGTGGATACCACATTGGTGCCAAAACACTAATGGAAGTCATCGATGAAAACCTGAACCAGATCAAATAGAGGAATACTCTGGGAACCACTTGACCATCATTTGATAGGGGGCACCTTAGGAACAATTTTAGGTTGCACGATGAGATTGCCGGTTCACACAGAGCACTTTTAATAGCAGATAACTTACAGAACCAAGGGAATGAGCAGCTACCTTGGTCATCAGAATCGCCATATTTGAACCACATAGACAATATGTGGCTAGGTCATTACTCGCTGTATCAACGGCCTGTATGTCCTACAACAAAACTGAACCAAACTGGCCAAGTCTTAACCGTTGCCTGGAATTTTATTCCAGATTAAACTCTAAAACCCCAATCTAAGGAATGCCTTGTCGCTTGAAAGCTCTGGTAGCGGCAAGATGAGGTCCGGCGTAACAGCGACCATTGCTGTGACTAGACACCCACATGAGGGGCCTTTGTGGGGCGTGTAACTCTTTTAAAGACGATAATTTGGAAAATATGGAGATCGAAAATATCGCTTTCAATGGTTGTCGTATGACTTAAAATAGGCAATGTATTTTTGTTTGCTTCACTGGCGAATTCAATTAATGGACTCATATCACAATAACATCGAACAGATTATCAAAAGTTTTTAAAACACGATTTTAATCCTTATTTTCATTTATCAGTCAGCAAAATAGGAAAAAAACTGATTAATTATGATTTGGAAAAAATATTCCATATTAAATGTCAAGTCTGTATTTCACAAGCAATGGTTTCCAAACTATGATTGTCAATTGTTTAACTGTAAAGCAATAACATATAGATTTACCCTTAAGGTGAGGTTATAGGACGCTATACCCATTTCCTTTTCAGATTCAAGATTGTAAAAAATTCTATTTATAGATATACATTTCTAGATATGCAGAATATAAGGAGCAATTAGATGATCTTTATAACCTTTACTCCCAAAATGAAGCGAAATCTAAAAAATAACTTTCTTTACCGGCCTTAACTTTTTATTTATTTATTTATTTATTTATTTATTTTATATATGAAAATGTAAAACTTTACGAAATTCGTGCAGCAGTTCATATTTAAGACCAGCCTTGCGGTTTTTAGTTTTTAGACAGCTGAAAAAAACACCAGAAAGCGATCAAACGGGGTCAATTTAATAGTGGGGCAGAACCTGTAATGGTTAACTCTGGTCCCACACACATGCAGCAAAATACATGCAGCGACACGATCTATAGTAGCGTCACTAATGCAACTCCATACTCCTTTCTAACCTTTAAGGTCAAGCATAATTTTAAAAGCATTTTGCTTCTGCAGAAAATTCATTTTCTGTCAAAGCAACTGACAAAACGATAACAGAAAACTGCGATGGCGGTATCGCGTCCCTCTGGTAGCCAGGAAATAGAGCTAGATTTCACGAGTAGCAGCCACCTTACAACACCCGTTCGCAAGGACGAACGATGGACCCTGAGAGAAAAGCTTTGCTGTTTTTCTCTGGCGTTTTGTGTGTTTGTCATAGCTGTCTTGGTTGCTATAATCGTTCTTGGAACGCTTCGTGTAGTTGAACTTTTCCCGCCAACCCGACCGCGTTCTCAATCTACGGCACCGCCAATCGCACAGGTCCAATACTGCATGACATCTGATTGTATCAAAACCGCTGATACGGTTTTGTCAAACATAAACACCTCAGCTGATCCATGTCAAGATTTCTTCCGTTTTGCTTGTGATGGATGGATACAGAAAAACCCAATCCCTGCTGCACAGAGCAGGTAAGTCTATTGTATGGCTAGTGCAGTGTGAAAGTTGACGAGGCCTTTCAAAGAGCCGGTCTGACTTGAAAGAATAAAATCTTGTGATGGAGGAATTCACGTATTGCACGGTATTTGCGATATTGATACTCCCTTAAGGCAAATATATTGAGTAATTTTGGTCAAACTGATTTAAAGAAGATATGCCAGAAATAAGTTAAAACTATAGTATGAAAATGTTTTTCTTCATCAGCTGGATCACTTTTGACGTTTTGTACAAGAATATCAACACACGTATACAAGGAGTCCTGGAGGAGCAGCCGCAGAGGGGAGGGCCTTCATCTTTTGAGAGAAAAGTGAAAGACTTCTATCAAAGCTGTATGGACACAGGTTCCATAGATAAACGAGGCGGCACACCAATTTTGGATGCTATAAACAAAACAGGGGGTTGGAAGACCATCGGTAAACACATGATTTTATTTTTGAATAAGTTGTCTGTCCCTTAATTTTTATTAGTTTGTCTACAGTGAACACCAAGATAGGTGTTTTCTAAATAAGAGTAGTTTTTTAAAAATGAATAGAAAAAGAGTTACAAATAGGTGTAGCACAATTCCACAGAAAAAGGTTGAGTTCGATTGTCTTACTTAAAACCCGTAATACGTGCACCGAGTGTTGATAGTTTCTAGCACATCATTTATTCGCAGCGGCAATGCTTTGATTTTATGAATGATGATGAACTTGTTATGGGTGATACAAAATAACACGATCTAATGATATGCCAATTTTGGATTACATTAAAAAAAGCAATTTGTGATGCCAAACTGTTACAAACCATTGGAAATTTGATGCCCAACAGCAAGGTGACATGTTTCAGGCCAAAATATTTTAATAGATAACTATGTAAATTAAAGCTGGGATATTTACCTTAAAGAAAGGTTTGTACTTTTTGTTTGCGTTAGACCTAAAATGATGTTTTTTACAATTTCAGGCACCTGGGATAGAAACAGATGGAATTTTCAAATGAATGTATTTTATCTTATCTATCATTACCAGACAAAACCGTTCTTTATGTTGTATTATTCCGCTGATGACAAAGCGCCAGACATAAATATCATAAACGTGAGTCTGTGTATAAAATAGATTATTAAAATGGCAGGAAAATATATAGTTTGATTTTCAGTTATACACGGTTTACATAAAAAAATTCCCCAAAAAAATTCGATGTACGTTTAATTTACCTACGCCAAACTTCGTCTGCATGCCAAAATTATTTCTGTTGTCCCCTTTATTTTGTAGTGTTTTCTTTCATGTTTTACAGATATATCAAAGTGGATTAGGAATGCCGAATAGGAAATATTATTTTGAAAATGAAACCGAAAGCAAGTTTATAAAAGGCTATAAGAACTACATGAAAAAGGTTTCTGAACTGCTTGGTGCCAGCAACGAAAACGCCACACAATTTTCAAACGAAGTTTTTGCGTTTGAAAAGGAAATTGCTAAAGTAAGCAAATTGTTTATCCATTACTTACATTGTTATATTCATTGCCGTTTTAAAAAGGTGCACAACTATCTTAATAAAAAGCGTATCTGCACATATCCATTTACCTAATGAGAAAGAAAAATGAGCAAGAGTAAGATTCGTTTTGTCGCTGCTTCGCAATTTCTTTTTAAGTGATAATATTTTGACATTATAGATTACCTTTCCCTCCGATGCACCAGAGGTTCGAGACCCATATTTGTTTTACAACAAAATGACAGTACAAGAGCTCGTGAATCTATCACCACGGGTGAGTGTTGGTCGGAAAAGGTAGTGGCATAATTAGAATATGTACTGTATAATATACTCAAGTTATATATTGTTGGTAATAAGATTAGTTGAAAAGAAGACTACATCACTTTATCAGTTTTTTTTAGAGGCAATACGGGACGAGTATACAGTTTCAATGGTCTGTACTTTCACTGAATTTTCATGAATTTTATCACGTAAAACCTTATTTGAATATTGCAACCCAGATAAATGGAATCAAGGCCGTTTCTATTCATTAAGATCAGGGTTTCCATAGTTGTCTTTTTGTTATGTTATACGGAAGTAACATGGTTGTAGTAATAGGACAGATAACTTGTGACGTCATTCCTGCGCTCCAACATCTTGAATAAAGCTAGGGTCTACTGTTTTCGAACAACCGAAAGCATACAACTAGGTGGTTAGGTGTTCTTTATAATGGGATTTGATATATTGAAGGTCAACTGGCCTCTGATGCTGACCAGTATTGACGAAGATATCAGTGCCAGCTCTACCGTCATTGTCTTCAACATAGATTATGTGACTGGAGTGTCCGCGTTGATAGAGAGAACCGACCCAGGGTAAGAGGATTGTTGGCATATCTATCTATTATCTTTAAAATATTCAAAGAGCAACCCCTGTGTATATTTAAGGTCAGTATCTTTCGATAAAATTTGACAAGAACCCACGTCTCTTGTATCTAATTATCTAATAATTTATAAATTTGATATTGAGTTTTAATGCTGTTTTAACGTACCCTCAACACCGTTTTTTTTTTTTTTTTTTTTTTTTTTTTTTTTTTTTTTTTTTTTTTTGGGGGGGGGGGTATTTTTCAAAGACATTTACCAGCTGTCCTATAATTTCTACACATATATAATATTATTTGTGCCACAGCATTCTAAATAACTACCTTGCCTGGACTCTGATTCGCACTTACGCATCGTACTTGTCCATTGAATTTCGAAGGGCAATTGAGGAATATAGAAGAATTATTTCAGGTAATATATTGTACTTGTTATAATTGGTACACTGTATGTTATTAAGGGTGATAAACAAAATCAAAGGGCATTAAATTTTAACTGCGTTGAATATCTTTAAAAAGCATAAAAGGTTTGCATATGTGTTTAGAGGGGGGGGGGAGAAAGTTTTATGCTGAAATATCAATTTCAAAGTTGCACATAGATAACATACTTGGACAATGTAAAGGATTTTTTACACTTTATGTACCCATAATCGAGAAAAGAATAGCTGTAATGGAAGGTATTATTTAAAACTTATGGACTTCTCAGAAACAATGTTCATCTGACAGTTTATTTTTTCGCTGTCACAAAGGGGCCTCACCACTAGAACGCTGGGAAAAATGCGCGTCCAACACGGGAGCGTGGATCGGCGATGCGGTTTCTGCGCTGTACGTCAGAAAACACTTTCCCAAAGAATCCAAAATGGAGGTAAGGTGAAAGTTGGCAATAGATTGTATTTATAAAATGCAAGATTTGAGAAGTCAACTAACATTCGCCCAGAAGAAAAAAATCATTGATACATGTTATTACGCAAATACACGTAGGACATTTTCATCGCAGATACAGCTGATAACTGTAACGATCAGCACAATTCTTAAGTCGGATCGCTGTTTCCTGTCAAATATTCACTTCAGTAACCTGAGGCATTCAAAAGATCTAAATCAAAACTAAATGATCAATGGAAGATTTTATAGTAAATGAAACATTTCAAAACTGACTGGTAAACTTTTTTATGTATTTTAAGTTGTATGTTTTTTATCAGTATGTTGGTAATTCTACTATGGTTATTCATATTCATTAATAATAATGTTGTGCAATATATATATATATATATATATATATATTTATATATATTTATATATTGCACAACATTAATAATAATGTTGTGCAATATATAAATATGACGACTGCAAATTGTCTTTTCGCTTTAAGATTCAGAGTATGGTCAAGGATCTACTTGCAACATTTATAGAGCGAATTGACAACCTGAGTTACATGGACGAATTTACAAAGCAACATGCAATAGCAAAGGTAGGTAGTGTAAACCTATATTACGGCTGCTTAGACCTACACATTCACTCCAACATATCCAATTTTTTTTTCAAGTATCAAATACAGAGGAGGCAAGTTTGGAACGCTTGAATAATTAGAATGTTTTTTTTTTTTCTTGTATAAAAGAGACTACATTGTTTGTTGTAATTCCTATGCTCTATTTCCAACGTTTTAACGCTTTCTTAGATTTTGATGTAAATTTTTAACATGGATTATCGTAATTTTTCTTTAGGCTAGAAATCTGAAATACGAGAAAATTGGCTACCCGGACTATATGATGAATGATACACACATGGACCACAGATATCAACATGTTCGTTAGATCAACTGTTACAAATTATTCACATGACCCTTGTTTCCTATTAAGTTATCCTATTTGTTCTAATTCTGCCTTTGTAATATTTTAAGTTGTTTTACATTCTTGGCAGCTGTGAATTTGTGACAAGTTATTAATTGCTTCAATTTAAGTAATTTTTTACTTTTCATTTGAATCCTTTCCTTGTAAAGATACTAGTATATTAAACATTGGATTTCTTTTGATTTTCAGTTACAAGTGAATTGCTCTGATTGCTACTTTGAAAACGTCCTGCAGGTGGTACGTCGTGATCGTATTTGGAGGCAAGAAGAATTCAAGAAACCCGTAGATAAAACCAAGTAAATACATACGTTACAGATTTATACCATGCTTATTAATATTGATTCATAATTTCTCTGATAATCTTACTATGTATATTTGATGTATAAGAAAACTAATGTATTAACATCTATTTAGAGCCCTGATATGAAATCGCTAAAGTATTCATCAGTATAACGCGTGTGTGTGTGCGCGCACGCACACACACACACACAAAATCTGTCCCTTTAAATAAACAACAACAGATTGATTCATTGAACGTCTTAATATGAATTTTGCGAAATTATGTATTTGTAATCGTTAAGTTCAACTAGGAAAAGGTAGCGATAACATCTGCATTGCAGTTGATTTTACTGGTTTTCTTTATAATTGCAGATGGGGAATGAACCCACACCAAGTGAATGCTTACTATAGCCATAGCCGAAATGAGATAGGTAGGCTATGTTTGGGTGGAAACAGTGCAATTGCGTTCATTTGTAAACATGTCCGCATCCCCTTTCAAAGTTTATCCGTATCATTTTGTACAATTTTACATATTCATATCTAATCCTACACGTATATAATCCATATCGTTTGTAAATGCTGGATCCGTTGGCACACCCTGCTGTAAATATATAATCATTTGTATTATCGACATTGTCTTCTACAGCTCAATTGTTCCTCTTGCAAGATAGGGAGGGGTCGATTTTTTAAGTAATTTCTTTCAACAGCATTTATATAACTTGTCTTTTCCTGATTTTAAAATGCAATTTCCCTTACCTTTAAGTCTTAGGCTACACTTTTAATTCCTTTCAGTTTTCTTGGCAGGACTTCTGCAGCCTCCATTCTACGCTCCGCATTATACAAGGTAATAGTGGATAATCCTAATTCTTTTTAAATCTTAATTTTACTTTACCTGCTCTTTCCATGCGCTCAGTTTCATTTTCAGTGTTGGTTTGGTTTTGAAATTTTCAAATTTATGCAAAACGTTTTATCATGTTGTGTTCCAGATCCATGAAGTTTGGAAGCATTGGAATGATAATTGGACACGAAATAACACATGGATTTGATGTCACAGGTAGATCTTTCAGTGATACAGAACACTTTCATCCATGGTGGATTTAAGATAATTAATGAGCGGAAAATAAAATACTGGACACTAACGCATGAGCTATGAGCATCTTGTCTGTCTCTTATAGACTTCTTTACCATGCTTTTTATAAATTCTAAAACTACAACTGGATGAATCCAAACATTCACCCTCATGGTGTATATGCTTGATAACAATACAAATGCTGGTACTGAAACTAAGTAAAATAAGACTGTGCAAGAAAACAACATATCACACCAATCTCTAGTAAAACTTTACCTTGAAATATTTTTCTCTAATGCAGGTTCTAAGTACGACAAAGATGGCATACTGGCAAATTGGTGGAGCAATCGCTCACGGGAAGCATTTGACAAATCGACAAGATGCATTTCTAAGTATTTTTCAAGCTATGAAGTCTCCGGGTTCAATGTGAGACATACTTTACAGACTGCACATGCATGCTAAGTCAAAATGACCAATATCATTGGCTTAATTGGCAATTTTCTTCAAAAGGTTAAATAGGTTAAATAGCTTATGCTAAAAAAACTTTTATAATAATAATAATAATAATAATTTATCATATTTATACACATTGTCGACCGTGCAACTTGTAGTGGATTAACATTTCATGAGTAAACTTAACTACATGGGACTAAGTCACTCCAAAATCTGGTAACTCAAAAGCATTTATTTGCACGATATAGGTGAATGGCAACTTGACCTTATCGGAAGATACTTCGGACATCGGTGGACTGCGTATGGCATTTTCGGTACGTTGTACCACTTTGGTGTAGTTGAGTGAGGAACAGTTTTAATTTACTTTTATAAGCTTTGGATACTTCTTAAATACAGATACAAAGACCACCAAGATATCTTTGTAATTGTTACCATTTCAACGCTATATAATTGCTTTGTCATTTTAATAAGGCTTACAAGAAGTGGGTAACAAGGAATGGTGTAGAGAAACGGCTTCCAGGAATAAACAGAAGTCCAGAGGAACTGTTATTCATTGCAAATGCAGCGGTAAGATACACTTAATACAATGAACAAAGAACTTTGAAAACAAAATTTCATAGCAAATTTTATTTTATTATTATGGTTTCTATTTGAATACCATACTGTACAGTATATGGCCATACTAGCCCGTTTTATCAATGTAAATACCTATTACAGCGCATGATCCTGAATCGTACCTGAATCTAAATATCGCACTATACGACCTGGAATCATTTCAGATTTGGTGTGGCCACTCCAGACCAGAGATGATAAAGCAAAGGATTCTCACAGACACCCATTCCCCTGTGTCCGTTAGGTATGACCTATTGTAACAGAAACCTAAAACGATCTTAATGGGTGAATGGAGACGGAAAATCATATTTAAAAAACGTCTCAAGTAAAACTTTTGATGATCATAAAAAATCTTCTCACGTTTGTGTCGTAGTTACATATGCTTTTTCGTAAACGAATGATTCTCAGTTGTTTTTGCTTTAAAGCTAAAACTGTTTAGAAAATATGCTACGGCTGACACAACAGTGGGTTGATATTGCTTTTTATTTTCAGAGTCAATGGTCCCGATTCTCAGTCACCCGAATTTGCAGCGACTTTTAAGTGCGTTCCTGGTTCACCCATGAATCCTGTCTCAAAATGTGATGTTTTTTAAGTGAACAAGTATCATATAGGCAAATTTTGTGAACAATTGAATTCGGACCGTAACTGCAAGTTTTTTTCTCAAGTTTCTCATTAATAATCTCAGTGACATATAACTAGGTAAGCCTACATTCTACTGTCATAGATGCCCTTATAGATGAAATATTCAAATGGTGTATTGATAATAATGTTTGTAGATACGGTAACGTCTTTCTCCTCGAGAGATCCGTTTCACCAGAAGGCATGAATTTAATTAAGAGAATATGCCTTTGTCAATTGGGATTTTTTAAAAATGTTCCCAAGACTTTAAATTAAACATTTTTATACCTGTATATTTAGAATAGGTGTTGTGACGGAGAGCCTGAAACGAATCAGATGTTGTAGAGAGAATTTGAAAGATTCACAATAAATAAATCGACGAACTGATGATTCTTTTAATGATAAATTAAAAATATTCCGTTGAAGCCCAATCTCCTGTTTTAGTGATTTTTGTGATTTTTTAGCGTACAGTCTTGAAATCTTGAGGTTTATTTGAATTGCGCATGGGTGTTTTAAAACGGAGAAACTCCTAATAATGTCGCGTTCACAAAGTTTTAAGTGAACACTTGGCTATAAAAAATGAACTTAAATCTTTGCAATATGAATAATGACTAAGTATAAGGGGTAGACGGTGGAAACAAAAGTCATTCAATTACTAGAGACTAAGTATTCAAAAAATTCGAGCTGGCATCATTTAGCGGTCTTCTGAAACACTGTTCAGACTTAAAACGACAGTCTCCAAATTCAATGCTAACACGTTGTGTCCGTGTACCACTAGCATTTAGCACACTGGTTGATGTGCGTGTTGCAGTCCACAATAGAGAGGATTGGTTCAACACAGTACGTAACAAATTTAATATACTCAGTACTTATATACCTAATATACTCAGTACTTTAATATACTAAAAAAAAAGATACTTTTGCACCCACCCTCTTTGTTATCTCTGATATGTGCTTTGGCTTTTAAAAGCCGTCGGCGTCGTGAGCTCTCGGTGGAGGCTAAGGTTGCTTTGCCATGTGACATAATTTTCCCAAAACGTTTCTTGAAATAAAAGTGGAATATTGTGACTTTTAACCTAAACACAATATTAAAAAATGACGTCAGCTGCAGCTGGAAAGAGACAGAGAGAGTTTTATAGATAGAAGAAAGATGAAAAAGGTCGAATATAAACGCAAAACAAGGCCAAAGGCAACCTTTGCAGGCATTTCCAAGAAATTGTGGTGGTGAACGAGCTGTTGGTTTGTAGTGCACAACTAATCTCGAGTTAATGCATTAGAGACATAAATATTTGGAGGCTATGTATTCTCACCTAACGCACCTCCTAAACAAATAATAGAATTCACAGTAATTAGCGACGAAATATCATCTGCGCGTTTCACTGCGTCTTCTTTGATTAAGTCCGTTATTAAAGAACACCAGCATTAATCAGAAAACCACACGATTGTGAATGAAGACACAGATTTCGCTACCTCTTAATCTCAATACATACACAGTGAATCTAGATGTTTTAATTAATACATGACCGGTTCTCATTTCGAATGCCTGCCAGCATTTGCGCCGTTCAGTTAATCTCTATGACCATATAGAAATACATATAACCCCTATGCCTATATGCTCAGTGCGCGTGAATTAAACATGCACAGATGTGAACGAAGGAAATTGGTGGCAGAAAAGTCAGCGTTGTCTAGCTGCAGCCGTGAGAACGGACACGCTGATTACTAAATAAAGGAAATTCATTTCCTATGTACGAGCTGTATGTGATGTTCAAGCGCATTAAACATAAATGCTTCTGAACGGTATATTAGAATTATATTCGCACATGGAGAAAATGTTCAGAATGTCGATGTTTCAGCAAGCAAATGGTCAAATTTGAATTTCATACATGAAAATTAGATTATTTTATCCCTAGAACGATAATAAATGTGCCAGTATAAACTATGGCTGTAGCTGTTGATTTACCTGTATATATATGTACTTGTAATATATGCACCTATGGTTTAGTGGGAGGGGCTTTTCAATAAGCGACTACGGAAAAAAGGGGGAAATGGGGCTGAGAGTGGACGAGATTTGTCGAGAATGCACCTCATGAAAGTAAACAATGTAAATAATATAGCATTTTCTCCTACGCGACATTTCATGCATTTGTCAAGATGCTGCATCAGATTATAGGGTCTTTTGTTTAGAAGGACATAAAAATCCAATGCGGAGACAAGCACGGAAGAGTAGGTTGAGTGGGGGTGCCATCGCCTACTAGACCTCATTGAAACTAAGCACTACTGAACATAACAGCTTCGTAATGTAATCTACAGATGCAGATATAACCTTTATTTACTGTCATCGATATGATAGCAGGGACAGTGAGCATGTGACCGAGTGAACAGCAGTTCTCCTGTGGCATGCGACACAGTATGATACAGAGAGGACACCAAGTGTGAGCTGCGCCTGGCCCAGTGCACGGTGACACCTGCGTCTACCCCCCAGTTCATCTTCACTCCGCCTAACCCAAGTAACAGACGCATAGGTAAGAATTCGTTGAGAATTGGCTTCTAGTTGGGTTGAATCTCTTAAATTGCTCTGATAGACCCTCCCCATTGCTTTGAACATGACCAAATTTTAGTTTATGAATAATGTAATGGTCTCAAAATATGATAATTCAAAACGAAGATGCTATTAGGTGGCAACGATCCGATATATTCTAATACATGCTATATATATGTAAATGTGACAAAAAATTAAGCAAAATATATGATAATTATAGTAAAGAAATCTAAATTAAAAAAAAGAAAGAGAAACTCAGTAGTATTCATGACCTAGTGTTCATTTGTGCAACCAGATATAGTATTGACACTGCTTCAACATGTGATGGCTGAGTTAAAACAACGTCCCAAAGCGGAGTGTGGGCACAGTTGATAAGACTCGAGTGCCAGTATACTTTACTGTGGTCGACTCGAAAAAACAAATCGAAAAGGATGCCAGTTCCGTTAACTTTAGTTTATATTTTAAAGCAATAAATCAAAACACACATCCTGTCTTGGGATTCACGCTTTTGCATGATTTAACTAATAGTCCTGTGAAGCGGGTTCTCTGTTAGAAAGACCTATCCCTCAATTTCGACTGGAGACAAACATGCTTTTAAATATTATAGGGCTTAATTGATAGCAAGTAATGAAATATGGCGTTGGTTCGCGACACACACTTCTTCTCCGTCCTGTTTTATGGGGGTATCCCTTCAAAACTCTTACATGAATCCTCTAGAAGATACCACTTTGCTTTACGTGTTTGAAACGTATAAAGTATGCTAAGTGTAGCTATTATTAGCTTTAATACCTTACCATTGGCATATATCTGTCACCGAGAAATGTGTATGTCATATAAATATGTGTACGACACAGAATAACATGTATTTGCATGTAAAAAAAACATGTTGTTTATCCCGCCGTAGGAATGCTTTTGAAGTATTTCTTATCTCGGTTTTTGGTAACGTTGAACTAGACACTCCCCTGAGCCACACCCCCAAGATACGCACCCGCGCCACGCCTCTTGTAACAAACAATGTGCATCTCAGTTTAGACTGAGACTATCTGATCAAGAAAAATACGAGAAAACGTCAGTGGCTCTCCATTATTTGGATTTTTCAATCCACTTATCTTTTAAATGAGTCTGGCTAGTCAAAATGATGTGGTATTATTTCAGTTGAATAGCCAGTACAGAATTGGTAGTGCACTCTCTCTCTCTCTCTATCTCTTTCTCTCTCTCTCATCCAATTACTCTTTTCAGCCAGTACAGATATAGATCATACATAACGATGAAGAAAATCTAGATTGACTTGTAGATAGAATCCTCTAATTCAGCCACCCACTTCCTGTAGCAATTGTATAATATCCAGTGTAAATGATAGATGTTATAAATGACGTGAATATTATCAGCCTATTGTTCTACGGGATATCAATTTTAGGTATTTAATTTCATATGGAGAACAGTACAAGTGAGATAGTAGCCATACACATAAAAAATTAAAAGGGTTAAAATGCTAATTTACTATTGATATGATGAGCGGACTTTACAATGAAGAACGGGTGTCGC